CTCCAATATCTTCAACATATACTTTGAATCACTTGGACCATGCGTCTAATTAAAATTCAATTGAAATACGTCACAATTTTCAGTTCTCTATTGGGCATCTCACGAGTGGGTTACAGATGATCAATATACGGAAAGAGCAATCTCTCTGTAACAACACACGCAAATCATGTGGATCGCTCCCTCATTCCGACTAAAAAGGTGGTTGGAATGAAATAATATTACGGCGTTCGTGTTCTACAAACCAAATACTTGTGTTGTTCTACGGGTATATCAACAACTAAACTATTTTTCTCTTACAAACAGAACGATCCAAAAAATTTAAAAGGTTCGTTTGTTTTGTAGAGGTACATGTTACTAGAGCGCAGCTGTAATTGAAAGAACAATTTCGCTTCTACCTTTTCATTTATTGCAAGGCTGCGTCTTGAACTAATGAAACAAATGAAAAAAAACGCACGAAAAATTACGTTATTAAATTTGCAGAAAGTAACATAAAGTAGCAGTAGGTATAATTTACCATTTTTTTTAACTAAAAATTTACCTCATTTTTAATGCATGAGGATATGCCGGCGGATCTCATAGTTCGATTTCGATTAATTTTTTAATTGAAGAACCGACAGAGAATTTGAATTTTGATGAAGTAATAGCTATCTATTTACTTATCATGTATGGAATAAGGTTCTTTATCCACGTGAGAAAAGGCCACAGTGGTTATTTGGGTAGGTAGGATAATGTGTAATTTTTCCACTAAAATTGAACGTCTAATTACTTCTTTATTGTACCGTTTTGAATAAAATTGTTTTATTTCACGGTACAGCGTTGATGAATTACTAATTTTGTAAAGGCTAACATTAACACAATAAAACATATTACCAAATGCGTCATCTGCAGATAATAGTGTAATTTTTGTTACTATTGTGGTAAGGGTTTTATTACTATTAAAGACATTTTATAATTTCAGTTGTATAGGTAACTCAAGCTAGTATAAATAAAGAGTCTATTACATTCTGTTGCCAAATCAGCCAAGCGAGAGAGATTGCGAACTCTTTTTGATTACAATGCATTGAGCACAGTTGCATAAACCGCTAAAGTTGGGGGATGAAAATACCAACCACTAATAAAACACCTGCAGTTATGGTATTGCGTTTCGGATTTTATTGGAACAAGATTTAATAAGCATGACTTGTCAGCAAGGTACTCTTATTCTAGACGGTTCGCTATTATTAATTTTGCCAGTCAGAGGCATAACAGCAAGAATAATAAAACCTTATTTCAGTTAGAAAACATTGATTTACAGCTTAGTGCTCGGATTCTCGATACCAGCTAAATACGTGATATTCAGAAAATTGAGACGAAGGTTTATTTTAACTGTATATCCTCGGGACAGGCGACTAGACTTTTCATTCGCAATCTTTTTAAACAGAAAAAGTACGAGATCTTAAATTCCGTTTCGCAGATTGGTGTTATTTCTACGTACTGAGTGCACATCTTCCAATGCGTCATCATTATAAGAAAAAACAGAAATCGTAGCGACTCCAAGCAATATTTCTATAATTAATATCGATTCTATTAGTTAACAATTCTATAGTTAACGATGAAGGGTGGCTAAAAGAAATAACGTGGACACAGACGATTGAAGCACTGTTTCGGAAATTCCATAACGGTGAACATTTGTAGAAATAACTTGTTTCGTCATCATTTATTTATTAATTTATTAATGAGCATACGACCACTAGACTACCCACAAAATACCTGTCCAGCTAGCTCACCTTTGAAAGAATTAATTATAATCTTTCTGGAGCAGGTCTAGCCTCTTCCACAACGAAAATTTCGATATTGACGTGAATAGAGAGTTGAATTTTTCAAATAGCTTGTTTACCTCCAAAATTGCAAAGATTAAAATTAACACATTTTAGCCGTAATTTTGGGCTCGATTAACGACCAAACCAATAATTTACAGATGAAATAAATTTATTTGACATAAAATAATCAGGCTGAAAGAAAAACAGGCGTTCAGGGCCAGAATAATAACACATACCACGCAAACAAGCGATCGATACATAATTATTTAAATCAAATCTTAAAATAACGTAGTGTCAATAATGCAAAATTTCCGACCATAACTGCGATTTTCAAACAAACAGACGCACAAATAGACACAAAATGAGTATACCTCGGAACTTCACTTCTTAGATTGCTCTAAAACTTCGATATAAACGACACTGACTTCGTTAGAATAACAATTATAGCATTGGCCCTTTTGATGGGGGACAAACTCTCTTTAACTGATAACCTGAAAACCTACTCTTAAGCGACAAACGCCCGATAAGCACAGCACTCCGATTAAACTTGTTCGTAGCGGGAAAATACGCTTCCGCTTAAACCGACTTAACGTTCACTGTTAACGCGACGACTTCTTTTTCCTTAACAGCATAATGGGCGTTTTCGAAAAATCAAACTGCGCCTGTCTTTTCTAAAATGGCGATAACAAGTCTTTATTTTAAAATTTGATTAGCGTACACAGCGATAACATTTCTTATCGCAGACCGGAAATATACTTTTACTAACTACGCAAATAATTTTCAGATGTTCAGTAATTTACTAACACAAAATAACTACAATAAAATAAACACAAACTACATACATACAATGGAATTGTAATTACTACCTTTGTTTGATATTCATTTAACGATTACAGCTTTTTTTGGTTTCTGTGGAAGTGTTTTGAATTTAATATTTTCTCTGACTACGTGTTGATCCCCTTTCTACTAGACGTTAATTTTAATTTAAATATTGACCATGCAGATTTATATTACAGTGTCTTATTTGTAATATTTTGAGATTAGTTCTTAAATTACCGTCGATCATAACATCAATTAGCGTTTATGTTCTATTCCTGTCGAGTATTTTATTTCTTTAGCTTATCAAGTCCAGAACAAGGATCTCTTAGTCCCCCTTGTTTCCCCCTTTAGGTAAGAATCCTCTTTCCTCTTCTGAAATTTACTAAAGACTAAGCAGCGCCTATTTCGATTTACTACTGCTACCTTTCCCTTTTGCTTCGTTTTGCTAGTGTATAAGAACCTCGATATTCACTTCGACCCACCTGTACTCTTGCTGAGCTTACTGTGTGCTTATGTCTAGGTAATTTTGTTACTTTGCCCAAAGTAAATGTAACAATTAAACAATTAGTCTAATACAAAACCTTGACCTTGACGAATTTAACTAATATGATCGAGTTTTAGAACCACATTTAACGTCAAAATAAAAATTAAATGTCATATACAGGATCCATCGTTATTTTAGGTGCTGATGCCCAACAAAACGTCCGCACGGCGTATTTTATACAATAATATTGATGCAAATTTAATAGGTACAATTTAACAGGCGCAATGGATTATCCAAAACGAGGTTTTAATGGTCTGTGTCCACATTAGTTTTTCGACAAGTGGAAAACTGTTCCCCATGCACGTCATTAGGAAAAAAATCATAATTTTTGTTACCACGGTGTTTTTTTTAAGAAATTTACATTGCATCAATTGCTACAGTCATAGCTTCCTCGCGAATCATCTGCCACAGTACTATAGAAATTGTTTCGAAATCAACAAATTTATGAGATATATGTTACACAAACAAGATGGACACATAAAATTGGATAATAATTTCTATTGACCGTTTGACTAATTAAACTTCAATTGGCAAATCTACTTTCTTTTTAAACTGTGTTAAGAATAATAAAAAGGATGCAATAAAATTACGATGTTCTATATATACTTCAGGCTGGAGAATGATGTTGATATAGCTGGAAACTCCCTCTTACATCGACAGTGGGTCTGAAGATGAAATAATACAATGATTTTGGCAGTTCACCCCGCAAGCAAAAGCAAAGGTTTCTTAAACAGCGTAGCGTCGCATTAATGTTTTTTTTAAATAATTGTTGATACAATTCTGGTTTTTCTTTACGGAAAAACGAGAAATGGGAATGTTCCCTACTATTATTCTGAATGATAATCCAAAAAAAATGGCGCCATTTAAATTTCCTATTGGTTATTGGTATTTTTTTAACCAATCCCGAACAGCTGTTAATTATATGAAAAACAAAACAATGAGCATTTTTCGCAATAGCTTTACTTCATGATGACTCAAAAATGTAAGGTTATATTCATGTTAAAACGGATGTAATTCTATCCCTACACCAGACTGGAAGGCGACTAGGGCCATTAGACAACAAAAAAGACCATTGAAAATCCTTGCAGAAAAATGATGCATATTTCATTGGCTCCCAATGGTCATTCAGATAAATTCGTTACATTATCATGAACAATATTTGTTTGGAAAGATACTGCAGGGCCATGACATTTTTTACAGGTTAAAAATTCTACTTTACGTATTTCTGCCGGAAAAATTCAAAAATTTAAATCCAAATCCAAAGTTCTTGTTACATTGTGCTATAGTTAAAGTTCTTGTTACATTGTGCTATAGTTAAATTGCCACGTGGTCACTTTTTCGAAATCGCTAACATAATTTTAATTTTCAAATTAAATTAACAATAAAACATAAAACAATAAGATTTCAGTCTACCTCCCATTTTCTAATATCATCGACCAGTACCTCCCCTTATTTGATTGAAACTGGCAGAAGACTATGCGACATCAGCTTTAATTCAAATACTTTTAAACGAACTGCATTGCTTTCGATTTATTCGCAAATACTGAATCATGAAAGAATGCCACTAATTTTTACTGAAATTAAATTTTACGCTCCACTGAAATATTTACATTCCCCAAAGAATTCCGACACCAAAATCGAACTTAACCAAATTTCTTAATTTACTTATTCAAAGCGGCCCCGTAACTAAATTTGCCTTGTAATCGAGCTTCCGTTCATCAGACTCACTTTCAAAAGCTGCTTATTTTCCGTAATATTCAATCCCATTAAATTCTTTTGATGTCTAAGGCACACACCACGTGATCTCTAACGTTAAAAGATTTAAATTTTATTTTCAGGTGAAATGCTTCAACGCTTCCTAATACTTTTCTTCATTACCGAAATGAATTGGGCTCTTTCGCTAACTACAAAGGCAAGTAAAATACGCCAAAGAAACAATCACCAGAACATTTCAACACTCTTAGATAATTTACTGCGTGGATACGACAATAGCGTACGTCCCGATTTTGGAGGTAATCACGCACAGAAGGTGGGCGACACTGCAATTCACTGTCGTTTTCATTATAGGACCACCAGCTATAATAGAGGTAGATATAATGGTTAGGAGTATGGGGCCAATTTCCGAGGTTGATATGGTAAGTATGGTCCATTACTTTTCATCAACGCTGCCAAAAGATGCGATGTAAAAGTGTAAATATCATAATGCACAAACCAGAGATAATGAGCTTCGTGTAGTAAATTCGTGCTAATTAAACACTCTTACAAAGTTTACAAGTAGGTAGACGCTTCATTATTAGAACAGACAAACTAATTAGTAAAATTAGCTATATAAGTGCTGATGTAAAAAAATTTAGAGGACATGTGACGTGAAGTGGATAATAAAGTCGTTTTTGGCAAAGGGATGGAATGAAAACCTATTGGTCAATAAGGACGTCAACCGTATAATTCGAGCAACCCCTTCCCTTATTATTGAACAAAAGCATTGGTAGAATCTCTGTTTTATGTATTTATGCAAGTATGAATGGTATTCAAGATTAATCAGAGCTTCTAAAAGGTAGATCTCTACTACTTTAGTATGAACCAGAAATTAAAATTCTCATCACAACGCCATTATCCATTCGAGCTTAACCGCTGGGGAAATAATTTAATAAATTTAATGCGGCTCTAGGTACGTTTTCACACATTTTTGCATTTAGGAAAATCTGATTAATTGTTGTAAATATGGTACAGCTGCGAGTAACTCTACAAGATGGAAATCCTTATTCCTCCATTGAATATTTATACATTTCGATTATTTTTCAGACCTATTCAATGGACTGTTACTTTCGACAATCTTGGGTGGATAAGCGATTGGCTTTCGCCGGAAATTCGAAAGACACCCTCGCGCTCAGCATATCGATGCTGGCAAGAATATGGAAACCGGACACATATTTTTATAATGGAAAACAGTCTTATTTGCATACAATCACAACGCCTAACAAATTCGTGCGGCTCTATCAAGATGGGAGAGTGCTATATTCATCGAGGTAAGTAGTCGCCTCCACGTTTAATTGCCTCCGCACACTCCATAAACTACGACAGCGCCCTTTTTAACGGTTTTTATACACAGGAATTGTAACAACCTCTTTGGGAATAGGTGTAAATTACATTTCCGTCGGCACTGTTAGCTTGGGGTTTGCCAGATTAATGGTTAGTCTAGTTTTTACTAAATGTAAAGAACTTCAACTTCAGTGAAATATGGTAACAATTTCGTTTCGTACCCCGACTGTGTGTATTTATAGTTTTCACAGGACGGCAGTTACAGTTCGTGAGACAATTTAGTGATATCTCTTTAACAGTTAATTATATTGTAACATTTACGGATTTTAAACAAAAATCAAATGAAGTACAATGTTACTATACAGAATATCTCAACTTTAACTAACATAAAACAATCGCATTTCTGCTGATTCGTCATTTAATTATAGCGATTTATTATAGATATAAGGAAATTTTTACAGATAAAAATTCAAAAGGGTGGAATGAAGGGACCACAAAGAAAAAAAATTGCTGTGGCCTGTAGAGACACCACTTCTTCTCTCCCTGTCTAAGAATATGTGTACCAAATTTGGTTCCAATCGGTTTAGCCGTTTAGGCGGAGATGAGAGTATAAACAGGCATTTTATTTGATTCGGATATTTCTGGTGCTTCAAACCGTGCATTTCCGTCAAAAATCTGGCTCAGAAGAAAACATATGACACTGTAACAGGTCCTAACTCAAGTGCCAAAGCGCCTTAGCCTTAGATGAGTAGGACGATCAAAATCTTCGGCACGGCCATTTTGTTTGCTTTTGAGAGCAACCTACATTTACCCCATAAACATCTTGAGCGCCCAGCAGGAAATTAGTTTTTGGGGTGATACGGTTCTCGGCATTTCGGTTTCCAGCTCGATTCCTGTTTCCTTTGGGGGTGGCTTCTTTGACGAAATTTTCCAGACATCCCTAGGTTCTGCGTAGTGCGTATACCAGTCCAGAGGTTACGAAAGGGTGTGCCATATTAACCCCACCCCTTCAACTGATGCGCCGTGCTGTGGTTGAATCGCAGATAGCGTATGGGGATTCTGCCATCCCTGCCGACCAGATCTCTTGCTCGCAGTATCCCCTAAGGGGAATGTGAGTTGATTTCCACTATGAAGGGATCTGGTTCTTCCTAGTCCCATTACATCCAGAAAGGGACTGAGTGTCTTGAAGTTGCTTTGGTTGCTGTTAACAGCTTGAGTCTTGACCGGCCGTCCTTACTCCACCAAGCTCCATCCGCGGTTGGGCTTTCTTCAACTTCATCGCAGCCATTTTAGATTGTGCCGTTAACTTGGAGGTTTTTGTTTACCCATTTGCGCACAAAATATGCGATTGTAATTTTGGAACAGTTAGCAGCATCTCGGTCTCTATCCCATTCCCTCTTCTTCTACCAAAGAAAAATCTGCGGGGGCATTGAGATCTTTAAGCACCCAAACCATTTCAACCATGACGAGGGACAGTTACTTTCACTTATATCTCCTGATGGATTAGGTTTAAGATCTACAAATTAGAACTTTAAATGCTTCTTGTGAGAAAACGGTACAAGTAATGGCCATTGCCCATTGCTAGCTATACACTTTTCCCATCTCTCGTGCATATCTATTTGTGGACGACTCGCCAAAAAATTCTTCATTTTTTGCCTTGAACCAGTCATAAAACCATTTTTTCACATTTTTGTAGGAAATGAAGCGCTGCTCGGTCAGTGCATGGCCCATCGATGCAAAAAAGTCATAATCAGCAGGGGTCAGGTTTCGTAGATAAGCCCCATAGGTTAGTTGCTGCTAATTAAGCTACTCTACCGTTTCGTTGGCCGGTTTTCCCCTATGTGTTGGTGCGCGTTGTTATCAAGAAAAATCGTCTTGTATCACCCGGAAGGCGTTTTTAACGAATTGCAGGGTTCAATTCAATTTGTTGTTGTCGACAACGGTCCCCTGTAACTGTTTCGACAGGTTTTAATAGCTTCTTTTCGAGGCGGTTTGGCCTGCGGTCGGATGGCCGGGATTCACATGTCATCTTTTTGAAAATAGACCCACTTTTCATCGCCAGTCACTATTCGATGCAAAAAAGACTATCTTTCTTTCTTCGGCTTTATTGCTGCCGTTCAGTGAGTTCATGTGGAACCCAGCTTCAGGATCTTTCTCATGGCTTTCAAACGATTAGAAATGGTTTGTTGGGTGATATTTAATTGTTCTGCAAGCTGTTGTTGCGTTTGACTATAAACTTATCAATCGTTATTTATTATACAAGACGATAAAGGGATGTTTTAACCATTGAGTGAAATATGTTAATTAACTTTCACGAGATGCTTAGTTTCCCTTTATCGTCGTGTAAAATACAAAACTTTATTTTGTAGCAGAAGCCATATAAATTATTGTAACGCTTCTGACAACTCTGAATATATTTGAGAGACGTCAAAAATAGCAAGCTTAGGTTCTGCCGTTGCGATCATTTCCATAGAAACACAACGTCATTTTATATCTTGCGTTTGATATAAGAATGACAGATGCCATTAGAATGCACAACCAACTGTTTCACTTTATCTGCCCTTACGGTTAAAGTGACCACTTTATCTATCCATACGGTTAAAGAACGGCTTAGCTTACTCATTCAAACCTATTAAAATGTCATTTAACATATGCTATAAAATAAAAGAGATTTATTCGCATTTTTATTTAAAAATTCAAAAATTATCAAGTACCCATACTAGCTGATATAAGTATAATCAATATATACTCGCATTTGTTTAAATTTTGACCTTCGCGTAGAAAATGGTATATTATGAAATGACCATTTAAGGACGCCATTAATAGCCATGAAATGCGAGTTTCATACACTATTTTTTCTACGACTAAGATGAGCTATAAAGAGGTGATGCTACGATGGCTTCAAAAGTGATCCAAAATTTGAGATTTTTATTGTGTGCAGTTAGCGAAGTTAGCGACCTCAAAGCATGAGTGCGTTTCAGCAGAGTCACTGTCAAATTTATTCAAAATAACCGCCGGCGCCGATTGGAATTTTAATTCATCAGAAAACGAACCACCAATACGCTATGCCCAGCAGTTGTCAAAACTAATAAATTTAAAATGTCATTGTTATGGCACCTTTGATTTTCATAAATTATGCGTCTTGTCCCCGTGATACTGCATTTCTATTGGTCGTAAACTTTGTATCTTAATGAAAATCTGTATCTAAATGACTATTATTTAAGTACAGGTAGCAAATGTTTAATAATATATCAATTAAAGTATAGGAGTAGAAAACTAGAGAAAAATGGTATTAATTGTTAATGAGCGATTCTTATTTTCGAATATCGTTAAATTATTGATAATAATAATAATACCGTTTAGCGAAGACTGATACCCTACTTCCGCGGAAAAACCATGAGAACGACGTATATTTGTATTCAATTTAAAATGTGCGGAAATGACCGAGGAAATGACGCCATGCTAAATCTGTCATAATAACTTAATCGTCGTAAATTGATAGATTCATTTACTTATTTATTCAGTGTTGAATGAAATCTACAATATCGTGTGTACCCAAGTTGATTGGGAGACTGTGCAGTACGCAACAGCGAATCGTAAACTACAAAATTTATCTCATCTCTCAAGTTTTATATTCTGCGAAACACTTTTTGAGTTCTGAAAGGTGCAGACTTTGTAGTACGTATAGGAATGTGGGGCGCAGAATATGTCACTCACAAAGTGACAACTGAATGGAAGACGAAGACCCGCCAGTATACAGACTACAAAATACGATGCAGAATTTTGACTTCCGCAGGTTCATTTCACGCAAAACGTATGCCAACCATACGATACACTTCATTATTAGAAACACTTAACGTTAGAAATCTAATGCATTTCGAATGGTGTAGTAATATAAATTTTGTCTCTATTTCCCTAATACCCTTATTTAGTAAAAAACCACTCTATTTTATATAAACTTTGTGAAAGTGATGTATGGATGGAAAATTTAATAATCGCAACCATTTTCTATTTCCAGTTACAGTTATAAGAACTTTCGAAACACATCAGGAAAGCAAACTTCGTATTAAAATCAACTTGCCCCTTCAAGTAATGCAATTATTCTCAACAGTGCGATCTGCTGATTTAGTTTTGTGCAATTTGCACCTCAAAGTTTGTTTCTAAGCGGATCTTCCGCGTTTCTTTGACAAGTTACGCAGAAACTTCGACTAATCTTGCAAATGAAGCAGACGAATTTCCATTAATGTAATGGTTAATAAAGCGATAGTTGATGAAAATTATGTTTGAAGTGAATTATAGCCACTTTACATTTTTATGAGATCCTTCCGGGATTGTTCAAAGTAAAATTTGGATAAAATGATTTGCATTCGCCGCATGATTGATGATCCGGAATTTTCGTGTGATTAAATATGTTTCATGCGTCTCGTTTTACAATGAGCTATGAAAGATGAAAACTATTATAGTTAATACAATGCAATCGTATAATACGAAGCGGTTTAAACAAATATCTGAATCATCTGTGGATTTGTAGAACGTGAGTGGAATTACTTCTCTTATATAAGATTAATACGCAAATGTTTACCTCTGGAATTTTCACCAGACTTAATACTTTATGGCACACCAAAGAGGATCCTATTTTTAAATGCATAGTATATCCTTTCAATATTGGCAAAAATTTAATAGGAAACTAGTAATCCATTTATTTCAATTTCTATGGAGTATGCACCGATATGCCTTCATATATGCAGGTTTATTTTACGCCAACATATTTCACTGAAAGTATTTAAATGTAGATTTTTACAATATCAGACAAGTAGTGTGAAAGGGCGCTTTCAAGAGAGCAGACGTGCGTTTTGCCTTATACACTTACCTTACATAGTAAGCGTCAAATAATTTTTGAAATAACGTTGGCATCTCTCGCTTCATTTGTCGATATAAGTAAAATGCACACTACCATTAAATTTGTAATTACCAAAGGTACCGATGACATAGAACAGATTGTAACCAAGTCCAGATTTGCAGCCGACTACGATTAGTAGCAGTTAGATCGTCTGAATAATATCGGGGTATCAATTGAAAGCGCTACATTGAATTGAAACTGTAATATTTTAATTTGTCACCCAGACACTAGGTGGCAGTAGTACAGTTAAAATGGTGTAAAAATTCCCTTGACCTTGACACAACAGATCCTTTCTGCATTTTATTGCGAAAAGTGTCCATTTTAACATACTCAAATTCCTCATTAACTAGGAAGTCAATCAAAATCCAAGATGGGGCTGAATTTTGTATTTCATTTTCATAACTGACGACCAATTTGTCTCAAATTTTGCAAATTTTACCACCGAATTTTATCGCGTAAGGTGTTACAACTACTGAGGCTCAATTTTTAACACCAACCTTCTCCAAGAAATTTTGTTTGTGCCTCTTAATGCCAAAAGCTCTTTCCATAAAAGTAGATTGAGGTTTTTTCGTGTTCCAAGTGCCAAAGGAAAACTTGCTGCTATTTTTTGTCAAAACTGTTGAGTTATGGTTTTAGTTCCAGATAGCCCTTCTAGAGCTCTGTGGTAAAGTTTATAACGTCGTTTTCACCGTCAGGATCCATATTCACAAAACGGTCATTGCCATGGAATTTAAATTACGTTTTAAGGTTTTTAAGATCAGCTTAAGTCTGACGGTACAAATGAACATTCCTAGAAGAATATTTGGAGCCATTTCTTGGTAACATTTTTCAGTTCTGGTTAGAGCTCCAGATAACCCTTCAATTGTTCTGAAAAGTTTAACCAGGCGACTTATAATAAGAAAGCTATGGAGGATCTTTACCGTTGTCAGCAAGAAATACAGATTTCCCTGCTCCGCGTTGGAGTTTGTAATGATCCTAGGGGTCCCCCGAAACCGGTACTGCGATTATAACTTACCCTATACTTACAGTTGGCAACTCTGGACAAAAACTACGAGCAGAGGCACCTAACTTTCAATTCGAAACGAGACGTTTCGCGCCACTTTTGAATCTCGGTAGCAGTCTGCTCGATATGGGTGATACGAATGAACTACTACGTTGTGTGATGTGTAATAAGTTCTGTGCTCGAATGTGAGACATAATCGGGAAGTGAATTGAATAAAACGCAGAATTATGTGCGTAAGAAAAGACAAGAACAAATAAATATATTACGCACACAACAAGACGGTACCAGGAAAACCTTTTATGGACAAAGAACCTGGCATAGCCCACATGTATACATGACAACAAAATACTTGAAACTCTTTGTTGAACGTCTTGATTTTATATTATAATCATGATGGTTTTAACGTGTTACTAACAATTACAAGGGTTGAAGAGCCCATATACCCCTTACCTTGCCGAAGTTTGGCCTCTTATTTCTTTCTAAGATCTGAAATTCAAGATCTAACGTTCTGGTTCGTTAGAACTCTAATAAATACGCATATTACTTTAGTTGATTGAATATATTAATAAACACAAAGTCCGTGTACCTATACAAAATATTGGTTTCACTCTGTTAAATTTGATTGTTATCTAGAGATCTTCTCTTCATCAAATAATGAATTACTGATAGATTCTCGTGTTCGATATATTATAGAATTTCAATGCTAAACAAAGTGACAAAGTGACGAAAAGAATGAGAATAGTGAAATTCTTATCAATGAACGAAATAGAATACAGAATGTTGTTATACAAAAGGTTTGCATAGGCCAATTTCTTCAGGAATATCAAAGTTACTTTAAGCAAGATCAATATACAAATTCCTAAAAATAATCGACCACTAATTTATCCACAACATTTGAAACAACTTACAGAAACTGATGTGGATGACATTACTTTCAGGTTGCAATCGATCCTCTCTCTACACGGAAAAACGCCACCCCCTTTAAAAAATGTAGAAATAGACCACTGCAATGGTATAATGAACTTTTAGTACCACCCTGGTAACGTGCCCATAAAAAATGTCCATGCGTATTGAAACTGCTACAAACCAGCTCTAATTTCACGAAAATTGTTATTAGGCACACCAATGACGATATTAAATGTTATAATAATAATAATGTATATTTTGCCCAACAGATGAGTATCCAATTAACGGACAAAATCCATATAACAAATAAGCAAGCAAGTAACAAAAAGAGAAATTTAAATATATGAGTAGAATAACAATAAATTTAAAAATACTGTATATAACAAAGACAAAAAATATTTAACATTTCTTATAATATTAATTATTAATAATGAAAATCTAAAAATTGAACCTTTGGCAAATACAAGATATCATAGTTTTTAGAAAACATGTTACAATACTTACACATTCTATAAAATGGCGAATTCTTCAAAATATTGGAATTACAATAAGGTAAGTAAAATGTATCATTGCCACGGTAACCAAAACGGGGAACATAAAAGTTCAGGTATTGTAACAAATCAGTACAATCGATTTTATTGTGGATAAGATTATGGAGAAAAGACACTCGTTTTTATTCTACGATTTTCTAGAGAGTCCATATTCGTTGCTAACAATAGTTCGTCATGATCGCAGTGTAAATCAGGATAGGTGCGATGCATTCTAAAGTATAAATATTTACAAAATTTTCTTTGGACAGATTCCAAAGACAATTTATACACATGTTGCCCAATCAATTAAGCTCTATGGTGGGAGTAAATACTCAGTCAAATGTCTTTAAGTTTCCTGCCGAATGATGCGTACAGAATATTTATCGCTTAAAGTACTGCACAAATGTTTCACGCAACTTTGATAAACTAGTTTTTAACTGGCTGCTAGAATTAGCGATACGCACAAAGAAAAATCTTTGTTTATCACGAGTTTTTAAATTCAGTACATTTAATTCCGATTTTATTTGAAGAGGGCGTCGCTAATTCGAAAATGTTCCCTCGCGTAAATTCTATCACGCCGAAAATGAATGACCTTGCTACAAATTAGGCTAACCAAAACATAAATTCAAGCAGTTACTTTTTTCATTTTAAAGCGACCACCCGTTACATGGTTCCTAACAATATAAACAAACATAACCCTTTTTTGGTATGTATTACTTGCGTATATAAAAGATTTTTGTTTTTAGGCTTACAATTAAAGCAGGATGCCCTATGAATTTAGAAGATTTTCCTATGGATATACAGCGCTGCCCGTTAAAATTTGGATCATGTAAGTACAACCTATATGTCTTTTAGTCTGTAATACATTTCAACCATAAAAGAGAATTAGTCGCAACCAGTGTGAAAAGAGATGGTGTTTCACCACAAGAATTATTTAAAAAGAAATTCATGCTCAGTAACACATACTAGATGCGTGTGAAAGTCGGTTCATATTGTTCACAGAAAAATGTTGTAGGCGTGACGCGAAAATTTACACAATTAAACCCTATAAAAAAACTGCGGTCTCACTGTTTTATTGGCATTATAGTCTGTGCGCAAGCATTCTGGCGGTGCTTTTTCAGAGACTCTGAGAAATCTAACCTAATTATTTAGAAATAATGTTGAAATAGCTAGCTGGTGTAGAATCACTGATATCGAATTGTCTTTTTAGAGGCGTGGTCGAAACTTTTGTGCGAAAAAAACTTGTGAGCAAGCGCGTCGTTCAAGTTTAGGGTGAAGGTACGCGGGAGGTGTGATAAATCTAAATAATTTAAAAGTTTGCAAGGTTGATTTACCAACCCAGCACCCAACCCAGTCCGAACCAGGAGGCGACCCAGAAACCCTCAGTGCTGTAGTCGAGCATTTGGTAGCTTGCCAAACCTTCAAAAATCAATTTTTGCCCCGCTAATTCTGCTAGAAAGGCCCTTTCAATGCTTGACCTGGTTGTGGAGCTTGGAAGGTTCAATGATTAAGGAGGTACGCGATTTCGCCTTTGGTCAATCTGATGTGTTTTTGGGTCAAATCGCCGCCCAGGTGAGTTCTTGGACGTCTGTTGATACCAGAACGACTAGTCCATAGTGTGTTAAGGGTTGCTAGGTAGCAATCATACTGTATAGAAGAAGAAGTCTGTGTCACACGATACTTGTCCAAGGTTCGAAATAGAAGTGCACTCACAACGTAAACCACCTCCCACACCTATATGAAAGAAGCTTGTAAAGGCCTCTGGGTAACCACTATAAAGATCTGTGATTAGGTCTTTTGGCCTCACACTGTTGAAGACGGTGCATTTTCAGCAAAAAAATGTGTTACGAGAGCAACTATTTGCTATAAAATCCTAAGCATTGCCATAAAGACTGCTTCGACAAACTACGATCTGCGTTTCCTTTAGTGCAAGCGGCGCACCATCCAGGACGTACGTGGGTGCTAGCATAGTTACTGTAATGTTCCCTCTGGTGGAGAGAACATTTAGGGAAAAGAACCACTCTTAAGATGACTTAAAACTTTATTTACAACTTAACAACTACCTATATCTACTACATTACGATTATTACTGACTGCACGCAACGCTTTACTTAATCAGTTAGTTAATAATTAATTGTCACGTCATGCGCAAATCAATATTTAATATTCTTATTCCATTACATCACAGTGGTTGTATACCGCCAAATTTATCATTGAGCTTATTGGTTTAACCCATTTGATAGATTCCGTTATGCGAATCCCAATATACTGTATACGTGGAGAGGATTTTGCCAACCTCGATTTTGAATTCAACAACACCTCTCTAAATCCGAATAAAATCACGCATCACGCATTTTGTTTATATGATGGAAGGCTCATTGTGGTTAACAGTTCGATTAATTTAAAACACCGATGAACCGCAAATTAGATTTTCCTTAGAATGCGCCGTAAAAATTCATACACGCCTTGCATTTTGTTGACTTTTTTTTATTAACTCAGCATTGAAGAAAAATAGGATATACCCTTTAAAGTGCGTCGACTACGCGTGAAAAATGAAGGCGTGTAATGCGATTTTGTTATGATTCAATAGACTACACTTCTTAAACATGATATGCTTTTTCAAGCGTGCAAAAAGGATGTTTCAATTCAACTCTCAAACGTTCAGCTCCATTTTAAACGTATTTGCCTCAAAAATTTCCCGCGTAGTGTATTTGCATTTTTCCGCGCTTCGAGGCCAGAAGATTAAAAGTATATGCTCCTTACCTAGATTTGCATACATTAACATTTTTTCATCCCATTAGCTTAAGCAAACGACGATTCGCAAACAGAAAAATGTGAAAATCCGCGATAATTTAAATGTTTGCATAAATTAAATCGCATTACGGATAGGTACGCCGTTTTTGCTAAATTTGTTGTGTGCGTTTCCTCAAAACGCGATTGAAATCGATTGATTTGTGATAAAGTGTATACTTTATCTGTGCAAATATAAACGGAAAATAATGCAATCACAAGGAAATGGTGTTCTACGTTAAACGGAAATTCCGTTCGCAGAACGACATTTAGAATCGAGTTTAAGTTTCATTTAACAAGCAACCTTTTTCAATTCCCAATAATTCACAAAAAGTTCTATTGGGCTTTTACATTGACATAAGTAGCGAATATTCACGCTCTTTGCCTTGTGGGGATGGTAATCAGTTAGACATCTCGAGATTCTCACGTTAATCATTCGTAAAGACAATATTAATGTATTCTTGTGTTTTTTACCACAAATTCCAATTATTGATATTTATATTTTTTTTCTTTTTTTTAATAAATTTACAAAGAGAAACAAAAAATTGTCTTTACCTATGGTATTAACACGCGCACATATCATGCAGATAACCCTCGAGAAGGAAAAGGGAGTTAGCCACCACTATCCAGGGGGAACTGGTCTTCTAGTAAAACCAGACACCAAGGTTTGACAAAGCTCATATAATTTTGGGCGCCAGGCGTGCAGAAATCACGTCAAAAAGTAAATAAATATATAAACTAACAATAAAATAAGAATACAAGCTTTGCGAATCCTCGACACTGGTGGGTATTTGCCTTGACAAAGAATATACATATACGCAAAATATAATTAATTGCATAAAGGAATAACCACATTAATAAATGGGTTTCGGATTGCGATATGGGTAAAAGAAAGATACGTAATTAAATTAAAACATATAGCATAACCTAAAAGAAACGTGTTAACGAAATAAGGAATCCTATGAAAATAACTCGAATTTCGAAAAGATACAACCATGTCTCATTAACGTAAATACACTTACATAAATAAAGTTTTATCTTAAAATAAGAAACTTTATTTAACTTTTATTTGGCAACGTTAAAAAATTATATGCTATTAATTAATTATGGCAATTCAAAAACTACTTTTTAAAACATAAGCATCTCTCCAGGTGTCTGGATATTTGTAATAAAATTAAAAACTACACGTCCAATACCTCCACAGATAAATAATTTAGACAAGTTTAGATTGATGACTCAAATTTCCACTTCAGATATCAAACTCCTAAAATACTAAACCGCATTCAGGCAGTTACTCAACTAAGGGTACATTCAACGGAACTTTACAATCCCGATTCCTAACTTGCTTATGAACCAACATTCATTTAATGTTCTACACTTTTCAACCCTAAATGACTGACATAAATACACGAAATGAATAGAAAGGAATTTTTTTAAATTATTAATTTAAGAAGAAATGTTGATTAAGAAAGAAAAACGCAATAGTATCCATCCAAATATTGTTTATTTATTTTGTGTAAATATTGTATAAATTTAAACCTATCGGTATGTTTAAATACGGTTCAAATTTATAAGTGAGTAGGACAAAATGTGAACAAAAAGACTTTGTTAAAATAAGACCTTAGGTAAGTGTACGCAAAATAAGACTCAGTTTTGCAATTTTATTACAAAGCGGTGATCAAATTGGGGTCGTAGTCAAGAAGTGTATGCGGATCAAAATTGTTGACCTGCTGATACTCATATTTGATATTCCATTTCAGATCTTGAAATTTGGTAACACTAACAAATAAATCAAGACAAATTACTTAATAGGAAAGCCAAATAGTATTTGATTTTTTAAAAATATTTTTGTGCTACATCAACCCTTAAAGTGTGGTCCAAATCGGTTCATAATTACGAAAGTTACGAGTGTTTCTTGGAAGTGATATGTATAAACCTATAATATACTGATACAATAGACAGGTAGATAGAAATCTAGATAACGCCTGGACTAGTGGACTAAAGAAATTGAAAACTTGAAAATGAAATAAATACAAACAAAACAAAAATAATGATCGTAAACGAAAAAGGAACAGACACCCAGATCGACAAAGAAATCAAATGCAACAATAAATTGTTGAAAAGAGCAACAACATGAATGTTTGGGAAGTATTTATTTATTGTCCCTCTCTTGTTCTGGGCCCTCAACACAATAGGCTTGCGTCCAATTACAGGGTGACCCTCATAATGTTTTTTAGAGGTGCCTCTGCAGAAGGTCTACTTCGGTGTTTACCTTACGAACTAGGAAAACTACAGGAAAACCTAATTAAGTAATAAGTATAATAATGGAGGATCGGAACATAGAAGCGGAGTTAACAGAGCTAAAAAAAACAATATTATATTACTCAATAAACAAAACAATACTAGGGCATAAAAACATAGACATAGGGGTGAAAAATATATAATGTAATAACAATATACTAATACTATTACATACGCGAATATGAAAATTGGACACTAAGGAAAAAAGACGAAAGTAAAGTAAATGCTACAGAGATGAAACATCTCAGAAAACTTGCTGGAAAACCCAAATGGGAGAGGGTAAGAAGTAACATGATCAGAGAAATAGCAGAACAAGAGCCAATAACGGAAAAAAGAAAAAAATTGAATTGATCCGCGCATATAGAGAGTATGGAACCAGACAAACTTACAAGAAGAGTAATGAAGATGGGAAAACCAACGAAGAAATAAAGGGAAAGAGCAAGAAGAAAAAGAAGCAAATCAGGGGAATAGGAATGGAAACAGGAAAGACGGTAGAGGGAATGAAAATCCTAGCCAAACAGGAAAGAATGGAGGAATTTGATACGGCTTTGTGGCTCAATGGTAGAGCGTTGGACTATAAATCTGGAGGTCGGGTGTTCGAACCTGTGTTGAGGTGAATTTTTGATCTGTGGCGGAAATTACCTTAGACCAGTTTCGAGCATTCTGCCGGCTACTCCGAATTAGGTTTTCCTGCAGTTTTCCTAATTCGTAAGGTAAATACCGGAGTAATATAGATCAACTTAAGACCTTCTGCAGAGGCATCTCTAAAAAGCATTATGCGGGTCACTCAAGCCTGTTGAGGACCCAAGGGGAGGGATAATAAATAAAATAAAATAAAAGAAACCTAAAACCCTGAAAGGGCATAAGGATTAGAGAAGAAGATTAGAAGAAGAAATGAGGGTTTTGTTTACATTTGGGGATCACCCGGAAGTAGCTTGCAAAAATGGTTACAATCTCTATCAAACATCCAGTTCCGCAAATAAACAGACGGATCCACCAAACACTAGTAGTAGAGCATTTTCATTTCTGAAAAAATATTCTAAGCAATAATTGCTTGTTCTTCCTTTCTTTGCGCGCCTATAGTCGGCACAATATATCTCCTACTACTTTTGGAAAGGTATGCAAAGTACATGAACGGACCTTTCGAAATCACTCCAGAATGAAATGTTTCTAATCCTTTGCGATTTTTGACTGGAGCGAGGATGGTTTGGTACCGCCGTACGAAAACTCGAAGAGTTAACCAGAAACAGTGTGTCCCCCTTCTTAAACTTATGTCACATTTGTGTTATACTATAGCAAATTTGCGAAAGCGACATCAAGGCGCCATCAAGTCGCCGTCAAGGGGATAAATGATTAGCTTTTTGTTTGCTGTATAAGTAAAATGAATTGTGTGTTTAGTTAAATAATGCAATTCGCGCTCGTATTATAAATTTTAGTAGAAGGTAATGAGTGATAAATAATAATTAACTGTAATAAATCAATCTACTTAAGGAAAGTTTTAATTTAGTTTCCTGTGAATATAAATAATTAATTTTGTATAAATAAATATCGTAATTCAGTTTACGTTACAATCCGTTTCCTATCGACACTTGTTCATCGACGTCCTAGATTCGGTTAGCTGAGAATTCACTATGGACACTGTAGGATAATATTTCTACGTCAAGTATCAATTTATTATCTTGGACCATGCATTGGATAGATCCTGAGTTGGTGTTTATCACTTCAAGTCTTGAAACTTCATTCGATATGACATAATAACCAAAAACTACATTCATTATTGAACAATCACGCATCTTCTTTAATCTTTGTTACTTTCCAGCCTATTCTTTTTACAAGCTGATGGAATTCCATCTCCAACATCGCCTAACATTTTCCACGTATAATTATCGTTAAGCATTCAATACTGATCTATTCTTATCACAGGTTTTTCCTCCGCAAGTCAATTTTTTTTTTCATTTTGTCATCATTAGCCGGTCTTCATTCCTTGCCGATTTGTTTCTCAATGTTAAACAAGTTTTTCGTTAAATTTTCTTACTAATCGGACTTAAAACAGCACAAGTATAGTTCAAATTTATTTAACAGTAGCTTTAATAAAATAGATCTTACTGTCTGAACCCTCAGGGTGTTAATACAGCAGACGGTTATCAATTTTAAGCTCTTGGAAGTAGGATTTTAATCAAAATGAGAAAATTGCAACAAAAATTTTACACGCAAGAAACCGAGAGGCACTAACAAGTATCATTGCAACATGATGGACTTCATGATGTATATTTACACTATTTACTGAGTAAATGCCTTAGCGGAACGTTTCACTGTATTTGCACAACACTTATCGTAAATAACACGTAAAAAGTGTTCGAGTTATATGGAGTTTCAAAGCGGAAATAAGCAACCGTCTCAAGTGGAGGATGCAATTGCGTCAAATGGCTTTATGCAAAAAAAACGTTGGAAATACTATAAATGCGCACAAAATTTGCATTAACAGTGCATTTTAATTAATATCTACATTTCTACATTCATTAATGAAGTTGTTGAAGACTCGGTTTCTATCTGAATGACTCCATTTGAATAAGCTCTATTGGTTATTTCATGCATGTTGATAGTAATTCTGTTTTCAGTCGGATACACGTCTCAAGACGTCATCTACCAATGGAATAGAGCTCGTCAAGTTGCAATCGCTGAAGATATGAAGCTGTCACAATTCGATCTCATTGCAACACCCGCAGCTAATCATACGGATACCGTAGTGAACAGCGATATCAAATCAGGTGTTTGCAGTCTTTTCATGGCGCCTAGTAAGAAATTAAAACAATTACCTTTTCGATGATGTCAACCTTACTACCGTCGCTCAGTTCAAACATAATATCTTTTCCTACCTTCAGTAGGAGCTAAGAGATGAACTTCCCTCTACATTTCAATTGTGCATCGAGTACACATTGACAGACAAGGCGTAACTTTAATTTTATGTTTCAGAGTATTCCATGCTTTTGGTGAGTTTCCATCTACAACGTCATATGGGAAATTTTCTAATCCAAGTGTATGGGCCGTGCATTCTATTAGTGGTTTTATCGTGGGTTTCGTTTTGGTTAAATCGTGAGGCGACCGCCGATCGAGTGTCTCTAGGTGAGAATATTAAACCTTCAGGCAACCCTCGAAATTGTATGTTTTCAGGTATAACGACCGTATTGACAATGACGTTTTTGGGTTTGGAAGCAAGAACAGATTTGCCAAAGGTTCCATATCCAACTGCTCTCGATTTCTTTGTTTTCCTATCGTTTACTTTTATTTTTGCAACAATTATACAGGTAATAGTGAACAACAGAAGGTGGTGATACCTAAGTGTTTTGAAATAATATATTTAGGAACAAGTGGTCCGTGTCATAATGGCATACACATACAATTCTCGCCAGAAGTGTTTGATACTGTATCGCCAATTTGTTAATCAAGTTCCGGCCAGTTTTCTATACCATAGACCACATAAAAATGAAAATTAATCACAAACACTCCTGGAAAGAATATTATTACCTCTAAAATAGACAAACAATGCACAAAATTGAAGTATAAGTCAAGAAACGAATCAATTCAGACATTAACTAAATGTGCGGGTCTCTTAGTTAAGTAAAGACATAGAGTTATATTATTTACTCTATGGTAAAAACAATTTAAATTCTTATGGTTATTGCATTGATGTCAAACAATGCAACAGGGTTGTATATTACTGCATGTCATGCGATAGCACTCCCTCCCCCTCACCATCTTCATCACCTCCTCTCACGCTATAACGTTTAGTCACAATTGATTCTTAATTACGAAAGTATAAATGCAATTAAATTCCAATTAATTCACTCAATTCAGAGTAATTATTTCACGATAATACAAATTATCATGTTAATTCAAATTATTTCATGTAAATTGAAATTATTTCACGTTAATTCAAATGATTCCACTTAATTCAAATTATTGCATGTTAATTCAAATTAATTCCGTTAATTTACATTAATTCTCGTTAATTCTAATTAATTCACGTTCATTCAAATTAATTCAGAGGGGTGTACACCAAAAAGTTATGGCTAGCTCTGGTAACATAAACTTTTACGGTGACGTACTTACTGAAAATTTTGTCCTGTTCTATTTTCTCTGAAAATTGACTTCAAAACCTATTTTACTAATTTGCTTGCTCGCAAAATCAAACAACAAATTAACGTAAAGTTTTTGATATATTTACGTATCAATCAATCAAAGAATGAAATAGTTTCAATTTACAACTCCCTTTAGGATTTTTCCGATTTGTACGGTTATAATTATTGCCCAACTTAACAACAATACGGCAACATTTTTTATACACAAATTACCTTATAAGTACTCATAATGGAACCATGAGTTTGGAGATTTTCTTGCTTGGGCTTTGAACAAAAAAACTTCAGAGATGCTGATAGAGTTGTTGCGTCATACCAGTCAAATATGCCTTAACGGAGGATCCTTACTGCGTGAGCTAGTATAAGATCCTGGGGTGGTGTGAAAGATTGACCAGGATGACAAACGTAGTGCGCACACTTCAAAGAGCTCCACCGGAGTCAAAGGTTCTATAGTCGGCCTGCAATCTATGTATACTGGCAGGGATAAAAGCAATGTTTGGATCATGACAGGTTTTTGTCGAGTTTAGCATGTCTGCTACCCCTGGGGTATGGTATAATATAGGCACAGCATATCCGTTCAAAATCAAGCCCGACCCTTGTTCCAATGTCCGCGACGGTGACAGGTACACTGTTTCCGAACTGAAAACGATGGATCCAATTTTGAATATCATTTTCCTGACGACGAACCGACAGAAGACGAACCCTCCACACCGAAATCTTCTGATAAAGTCACAGAAAGGTAATTCTACTCATTTTTAAATATACTGGCTGGCCAGACACCCGACAGATGAATCGATCGCAATCGAACCGAACCGAAAACAATAAAGGACAACTTCAATGACAAATTGCTACATCCAAACTTTTACGTACGTCGATCGTCTTAAAACTTTCACTCGGATTCAGCTGACTTCCTGATTATCACGTAACGAATTTTAATTGAATAAAGAAATTTAACGCAGGACGCGCGTCTTCTAGGCATTCAACGAACAGCAACTCGGCCTCAAAATTAGCAAAAGGTTACTTTTTCTTATCTCACTAATCTTCCTTCCCCTTACTTTGATTATCTCACTACTGCACTTTTCGAGCCCATTCAATGATATCTTAGCTTAGATCTAGAACCTACAAGCTACCTGCTGACAATTCGGTTTGGTGGATAAATCCAATGTTCTTTTACTACGCATTTTTTATCTAGAAACAGTATACTAACTTAATGTTGAGGATTTTTCAACATGACCATAATAATATTTTTGTCGACTATTTCCCTTTTTACACCTTTAACTAACGGTTTCGTTTTTTTTTGTAATTACTAGTTATAGTTATTCCAATACTGGTAGCTTTGTTATGACCAACCCTCCAAAGAATAATAATTCACATGCGGATACACGCATATGCTTGTAAAAGAAGTCGTATTGTATTCTAACAGTCTATATTGATATAGGTAAACCGACATCACCAGTCTCCTAGCAACGTTTTAATTAAATCTGCACGATGACTACGCCCTTTTCAGTTTAGTCAGTACTCTGTAGATAATTCAGAAACGAAAATTTAATATTACCTAAACTCAAAAGAAAAACGACAAAATTTGATTGATCCGAATGTACTATTACATTTAATTATAGAAGTTGAAGGCAATGCAAAATGGCTTATTAATTTGATGAAAATATGTTCCATGATGTTTTATTTAATGAAATTGAAATCAAATAGTTTGAATATGCACCAAAAATTGCAAAACCAAACCTTCTAAATGGATCTAAGCACATATATTTTATACATTACAATGTGGTCAATTGAAACCAATTTACCCAAATTGATCCCTGAATCGATGGTTTTCTTATGGTAAAATTCGTATGGCACTCCTCGAAGATGGGGTCCTTTCTAGGGTTCTTTAAAAAACTGAAATGTTATAATAAATCCTTAACCTCTTGAATTTTTTTGGTTTGTGTCTTCGCTGATTTTCGACAGTTCACGGAATATTCCGAAGATACCTTTTATTTTGGACCACGTACGTGACGTTCGGATGATTCCAAACCGAATGCCCTACTGCTATCCTTCCGAAACGCGTCCTTACCCTTGCAATTTTACTAAGACACAATATGGCTCTATTAGGTTAAAGTGGTGATTTGTTATCATTAGGCAACCAGCTTCTCTTAGTACAAGGAATCACGGGCGCGTAAAGGCCTTCAATCAAAGCCCACAACCGTTTTAAAACCTGAACCTTGGTTCTATCATCATGAATAATCCTGATTTTGCTGTATTGGTCACGTAAAAGACATTAAGATTGTATTGCCGCCCGTCGGACTGGCACCTTAGCCGAATTCATTCGGGAATGATTGATTTTTAAAATAAAATTTTGGAACCACCACTCCGTATACGTTCTTACACTTAACACCTAAAAAACCCGCAACCCTAACGAAAATTCGAAAAAAAATCAACTCCATTACAAATAATTGTAACAATTTTACATTATCTTTCTATTTAGTTTTGGTGGAAACAGTGCCCAAAATGTTTCGTGGTCGTTCTCAGAGTTGAACTAAATAATACCGGCGGGGAACTTCTTTCCAAGGCCCACTTCAAATTGTTCTCTTCCTATTCTCATGATATTTTTTTAAATGTGCTAATAATAAAATGTCTTTCGGGTGAGTGATACCGTTGATCGTTCCAGCGAAAGTCCTTAGATATGTCCAGCTAAGTGTACAGTACAGGGTGCTTTATAAGTGTGGGATGAAATACAACTTTGATATTTTAAATGGAACACAATATATTTTGTTACAATAATAGATTGCCCAACAAATCGTGTATACAAAATAGTATATTATATAGCAAGGGACTAAAGTGCAAGATTTAATCCCGAGAGTGGAAATTATTGCCCGAGCGTTAGCGAGGGCAATAACCACTTGAGGGATTAGATCGCACTTTAGTCCTGTGGTATATACGCAATTTTTTACCCTCCCGGATAACTAAAAACTTCCAGCAATTCAACTGAACCTAAAGAAATTGACCTATTAAAAAAAGCATTAGTAAGCTTGTGCTTGGTTAGGTAACCAAGGTAATAGGTGTAAATAAAACGAACCATTTTGCATTTCGTGATTTAAGTAAGCAAGAAACATGACTGAGAATAAATGTAAGGAACCTCTTGGCATAAAGATGGCAGCTGCACGAGCAGTCGAGAGCCTTTTACCCACGAAGTCGAAAAATTTATATAACAAGCGGTATGAAGAATTTAAAAAATGGTGTGCAAGTAAAACTGTACAAGAATACACTGAAAATGTCATGCTCGCTTATTTTGAAGAGAAACAGCAAGGGTTTTCACCTTCTTCGCTGTGGTCCTTGTACTCAATGCTCAAGGCCACAATATTGGTCAAGAAAAATATCGACATTAGTAGGTTTCCAAAACTAATTGCGTTTATCAAACGTCAAAATGACGGATATAAACCGAAGAAGTCCAAAGTGCTCACGAGAGAAGAAATGGACAGGTTTTTAATAGATGCTCCAAATGATAAATATCTATTGTCCAAGGTAAATTGTTAATATTCTACCAACAACGTTGAGTAATTTTGTAATCTTTTCAGGTTGTATTGACTTTGGGAGTCGCTGGGGCATGTAGGGGAAATGAGCTGTGTACATCAAAGATTACTGATGTTCGCGACGTCGGTGATATGCTTGTTGTTAATATAAGAGACACGAAGACAAATGTGGATAGAACTTTTACCATTGTCAACAACGACAGAAGTAATCTTAACTTTGTGGAATTGTGCAGAAAATATATGTCACTTAGGAAGCCGAACACGAATCATGACCGATTCTTTGTTTATTATAAAGATAATAAGTGCACTGTCCAACCGATTGGAAAAAATTTTTTTGGAAAGTTACCGCGACAAATCGCTACTTTCTTGAATCTTTCGGATGCTTATTTCTACACAGGCCACTGTTTTAGACGATCCTCCGCCTCGTTGCTAGCTGATGCTGGTGCTGGTGCTGATGTTAGTGCTCTTAAACGTCATGGCGGATGGAGGTCTGCAACAGTGGCTGAAGGGTATGTTGAAAATTCCCTGAATAACAAAATTCAAACGGCAGAAAAAATTCTAATTGGCCATGAGCAGGGTACGAGTACGGTTAATGCAAATAGTAGCACCAGTGCAAACGTTGCTATTAAAGAAATAAGAGGTGAACATGTTGCTCCAATCATTAATCTACATAATTGTGAAAATTGTATTATAAACGTTAATATAGCTAAATAAATATTGACAAGACTTGTCAAATTCGCTTCATTTTTTGGTTGTTATGGGAACACTTTTTATCCCTTGGGATTAAAAGATCAACTTTAGTCCCTATTCCCAGAGACTGAAGTAGCAAGTTTAATCTCGGGAGGGCAAAAACTTATTAACAACCCAAGGCAGCCACCTAACAGTTTCGAATTTCAGGGTAGCCCACTTGGTTTCCTATATTTAAATCCAGTTTTATTAATTCTGTCAATTGCTCGAGGAAAGTTAGACAATAATTTTTCTTACGGTGTTTCCTCTCCTAAACGTCACGAACAAAATCTCTCGTATCCAAAAGTACCGTGCATAACGAAAAAATTTGCTCTGATCTAGCACAGATACCACGCGCACACCTGCGCCTGCGCGTTCTGACCAAAAGAACCATTCCAATAGGTTCAGTCGTTTATGAGAGCAGGTACATACAGACCGACATTGTCGAGATTTCGTTTGATTCAGATTCCTGGTGTGCTTCCGTCAAAAAGTGGAGGGTGGGTCCATTTTTACCCCAATGCAATACCTCCCTTACTAACGCGCGGGTGGTAAAAATGCACATTAAGGTTTGGTAGAAAGATCCTTGTGCTTAAACCAATCCTTAAATGTGTAGCAAAATGACCAATGTTTCATTCCAGTTTGCGGTAGTGCACTACTTCACAAAGTACGGCTCGGGTGAATGCTACTTTAGCAACGAATTGAGCTCCGAATCTAGTAGTGATGAGGATGATTGGAAATCTAGCGACACCAAAAGGACCTCCACCGAAACGCCATTCAACGTATGATAAACCAACAATCTACGATTACTCTATCCAATTCAATTTCAGGAACCCGGTTTAAAGAAATCGAATTCTACTAACTCGAAAAGAACGAATTATCAAGGTGTCAACGGTGGCCAACCTCATCTATTGGAGGTGATACCATTATCCATGTGTTCAATTCCTATCACTTCGGGCCGAAGATCGTCCCACAATTTCCCATGCATAGGGTGCGCGGAAGCGGACGAGGACGATAAAACCTACATACCGAGTGGTATAAACGTAATTTCGGGGCAGAGACTTTCGTTTCAAGGACAAAAGCATAGAAGGAAAAAGAAAAAAAGGACGCCGCGCTTTAATTCCGTTTCAAAAATTGATCGGGCGTCCAGAATATTTTTTCCCTTATTATTTTTGACAATAAATTTATTTTATTGGTATTCGTACCTTTCTAGAACCAAACGAATACAGCAATTGAACGTCGCTTATTGATTAATGTGTGTTTATGTATATAATTTATAGCAATATTCTCGTACTGGTTTACAAGATGGCAGTTTATATGTTTACTTAATGAGAGAATAAACTTAGAAAAAAAAACTGTTATATTTTAGTGAACGCTCTGGATAGATAGATGCAAGTTAGTAATAAAACGCGGTTTTGTACAACGAATATGTATCAGGCGATAATCTTTTACAGTTAACCTAACTTTAAATATTGTAACAATTTAAATGGGATAATGAGTTCACACATTGAAGCTCTGATATGATGATAAATACAATGCAATTGAATAAAAAAATTAAAGATCCTTCACCAGTTAAGTTTCGTTAAAACACACATAGAGGTAGGAAACTTAATTTTCTACTTGAAATTTAGACATCACTGTATAGTAACAATTTGCGGTTTTCCTGGTACCAAATACAAAAATAATTTCACAATATCCCTTAGTCCGTATTAATCAAAAACGTCATCAAGATCTAGAGATTTCTGCGAGATGGAAAAATTACCCTAGAGCAAGGTCAGCGCTGATCGGTAATTGCAGTTTTTTATGAGACAGAAGAAAATACAGGTAGAGTTGCCAATTTAGAAAAAATGCGGTTAGTTCCAGATTAAATAGATTCTTACAAACTGACTCGCGCCTATACGATCCGCATGAAGCGGTACGTATGCAATTTTACCCATATACAAAATTCAAAAGATTTATACTGCCCCCGTTGCAACACGTACATTTGGATTTCGAAATTTTGGTACAAAATGCCATATAATAATGGTTTCTTTGCAATGTAGAATATATCTCCACCTCATTTAAGATAATATTCTTCCTGCTTCCTTTCCACACGCAGTCGTTAACAAAAAGTGCGAAAAGTACAATATTTTAATCTACGAGACCATGAGTGCAAGGTTAGTTGAGGAGGGCAGTACCTTTTAAAAATAAATTATAAGGAACATTTAATTAGCTTCAATAGGAAGGCTTTACCAACGGTGTGCTACTTGCTCTAAAATTTGTTGTGGTATAAGCTAAGAAATGATGAAGAGATTAACAAGTTGCTACGCGAAAATAGCTCTATTTCGATTCTAGCTTTTCACAGTTGACATATACTTATACCACACGTATAGCGTTGGCAACCCTGCAAGAATAATACAGGTGGACATTCACAAGAAAAAAAATTGTAAGATTACTTGGGAAATAAAACGAACGCTTACGAAACAAAGCATTCAATGTTATTAACGATCATAATGGTGTGTTTTTTTTTTAAAATCATTACCATAAAACTTTAACAACTATTGAAATCTCTGTTTTAAGCAGTAATACAGTGGCGTTAAATATTGATGTGAACATGCAGAACAGTATTATGTAAGTAACATATCCTTTATTAAACTAAAATTTGGGCATTCAGAAAAAATGCTGTTTCGAGTTTCGTCGCTCTCCGATGTGTAGATTAATTTTTCATATCCATTGTAAAAAAATACATTCATGAATCAATCCTCATCTAAACAAATTAGATTAGATAATTATTCCATTATGAGACCTTATCGGTAAAAGAACCTTGTAAGATTCTTCGCCCTAAACGTTCGTCATTTTTCCTATATTTTAGAATGTGGTTTATACTGTTATCCTCTTCTGGAACATCAACTGCGGCCTATGAAATCAGGCTACCTCAAACTTTAATACCCGAACGCTACAATTTGAAGATAGTTACTGACCTAAAAACTTTTACCTTTTCTGGAATCGTTTGGATTCACGTAAGTAACCTTTAAATTCGTTTCCCACTCTCTGAAGTAAGAGACTCAACTTGAGACGTTTTGAACACAAGTGCTTTAGGTAAACTGCATTAACGAAACGAATCGGGTCGTTCTTCATTCAAAGGGATTGACCCTAAACACCAAACGAATCATCGTAAAAAATGCTAAGGCTAACGCTGGGGATACACTGAAGGCAACCAATTTTTCGTTTTATAAGGAAAATGATTTTTTTGAAATTTTACTAGACAAACCCGTTCGGATGGAACAAAGATATGAAATATTTATACCTTTCAACGGAACATTGGGTTCAAGTTTGAGCGGCTATTACAGGAGCAGTTACAACAACACAAGAAAGGGTAGAAAAAAATGGTTATCGGTGACGCAGTTTGAGCCAATCTTCGCTCGAAATGCCTTTCCGTGTTTTGATGAACCCGCAATGAAGGCGTCCTTTAAAATCAGTCTCGGCAGAAGAAGAAGGTACAGTAGTATCAGCAACATGCCACTTCTTAAAACTGAAGCTATGAGGTAAGTATCCATTGAGACTTTTTACCTCTAATGTATTCGGTAGAAAAAAACCGGGATGGTTTTGGGACCATTTTGAGGAATCGGTTCCGATGTCTACGTATCTCGTAGCATTCGTCGTGTCAGACTTTGAATTCGAGCAGTTTGCTGTAAACGGCAATAGTACAACGTTTAGAATATGGGCTAGGAGTAGTGCCATCAACCAGGTAACATCTTAGTTTAGAAACCATTTGTGGATAGTGTTACTCTTTTCAGGTTCAAACGGCCAAGAATTTTGGTCCTAGTGTGTTGAATTTTTTTGAAGAATATTTTAATATCCCATATCCATTGCCCAAACTAGATATGATTGCTGTCCCGGATTTTGGTGAAGCCGCAATGGAAAATTGGGGGTTAATAACATTTAGGGAATCCTATTTACTCACCGAGAATGTACGGCACGGTGTTGGGATTATTGAACCTACTATTGCACACGAAGTCGCACACCAGTGGTTCGGTAACTTGGTAACAATGAAATGGTGGACGGATATATGGCTAAATGAAGGATTTGCAACGTACATGGCTACGATCGCGTTGCATTATATTTATCCGGAATATGGCACTTTAGTACGCAACACTTTAACAACGTTACTTACTGTTTTTCGTCAAGATTCTTTAAAATCGTCTCATCCGGTAATTTTCCGTACCAAACGTAGATACGAGTAGATGGTAGGTTGACTTTCATTTCAGGTATCAGTCCCTGTAGAAGATCCAAGAGATATTACCCAAATTTTTGATTCGATATCTTACACAAAAGGTGCAATTCTTCTGCACATGATATCGAACTTTCTTTCTGAAGATACTTTCAAGAAGGGCGTAACTCATTATTTAAACAAACATAAATTCGAGAATGCAGAACAAAACGATCTGTGGCAAGCTTTGACTGTGCAAGCACACAAGGACCAAGTTTTACCGCCACATCTAACCATTGGAGAGATTATGGATACATGGTCCCTACAAGTTGGTTATCCATTGGTTACGGTGACGAGAGATTATCAATCAAATTCAGCTGTACTTAAACAGGTATGTTGAGACAACCTCGGGGAATGGTAAGACTTACAAAAATTTGAAAGCACACTTGCTTTCGTCTTCTTTATGACACTACTAAATACGGAACTTTCTTTGGCATAACAGTGTTGTTGCATTATTAGTCTTCGACTATTAGTTATCATTCCCCAAGTCCCCCCTTTCGGATTTATGATTTAATTGTATATTTTCCAATAAAAAAGTTTCTACCTTTGTGAAATAAAATTTAAAAAAACGAAGGTCGAAGACCACACTTGCATAACATAAAATTGAATCTCTACGGCACTGGCAAAACCAACGGTTAGCTCAGTAAGTAAAAATGTTCTTATCCTCTTACCTTGTGGAAGTTTGGCCCCCTATCTCCTTTTAAAATCTTAAATTCAAAATCTAATTGTTAGTGAATACACGGCAACAAAGACAGAAAAAGGAGATGAAGCAAACAACGTCGTTGCCTCACAATGGACTTAAACGAACTAAGGTCGTCCAATGGCAACCTCCAAAAGCGATCCTCGCAGTGCCAGCAAAGTTCGGCAACGTCAGCAAAGATGTCCACGCCTTCCACGAGGACTGCAAAAACGTGAGTGGCTCCAATGCAGTGAGGGGGCTATGCTATTACACGACACAGCAGGGACCTGGTGGCAAGAAGTAAAAGATACAGTAAACACCGAGGAGGGAGCTATCGCCCCCTCAGAAAGAACTTAGACCCACCACTGCCCGTGCATCGGATCCTGCGCACTATCTTCTCTATGGAGCAGGGGGAGAGAGGAGGCACAGAGCTCTTCATGAGCCAAAAGAGAACTCTCATCGCCAAATTTCGGGAAGACCAACTCCCTGGGGAAGAGTTCCAGGTGAGCATGGTTTATGGGTGGCTACACCCCCGAATATGCCGCGCGGTCCCCCGAACGAAGGTCAAACTGTTCAAAGCCCTCATCGAGGAAGTCCGAAAGATGGAGAAAGCCACCAGGCCAGAAAACGCGGCAAAACCAAGCACCACAAAGTAGGACAAGCGCTCTCGCTGTATGTTTCACCAGGTACACCCAACAAAAGTGCCGCAATCAGACGAGGGAGGAAGCCGCTACCTCAACCGCACCTTCGGATCCAGTCGCCGCACTCACCAAAGCTCCCGCCACCAACGGTATCGCTTGTTACGGCCGCGGATAATCGGGAGTAATTCGCATATCTGTACACAGACGCTCACCAAAGTCTCACAGGAACCACCCTATATTCTCCCCTACAAGCAAGGAACTACCAGCTCCATATGCAACAAGTGAACCTGATTACGACAGATGAGAAGATACGAGACGTTCTGTAAACCACCGTACCTGTCCGACTACAGAACCGCTTCCTACAGACTACCTTCATAGTCTTATCGGAGGCCAACAACCGCGTCTTCCTGGGTATGAACTTGGAGGACGCGCAGCTTATTCTAAATATACCGATGAACAGTACTGTTTCCTGCAGAACCCAGAACAAGGCTACAACCATTTTCGGCTGCAGCCCATCGACTGTTCCCTTTCGCACGAGACGGTACCCGGACCGCCTTCCACGGATCCGCGAAGTCCTAATAGGATTTTTTAGGGAATCACCGCCACGCGTCCGCTTACCACAGACCTGGATTCCTAACATGCGGACTAAACTGAGGGACTCCGGGAACTCCCATGCTGTCTTTCCGGCACTCGCACCGCAGAAAGATGCCGCGTCACCCGGAGCACCTACACTTGAAGGTTGCCGCCCTAAAGCTAAGGATAGACGAGGGGCAAGATCTACCCGCTGAGATTAACAGATGCGTCAACGCACGTAACACGTTAAACCTGAAACACGACCAGTCGTACTGCCGCTCTACCGTCTTCCAGCACACAAACTCACTGCCATGGTACAAAGCGGTGTAATCAAAGAATGCGACTTTGCTTGGGCCTCGCCCGTGGTGCTGGGTCAGACGGGTCAACTCGCCTATTAATGTTAGCTGTCCCAAACCAAATGAAAGGACAGCTTTCGATTGCTACCCTCTGCTAAGAATCGATGACCTGCTTCATCACACAGTAGACCTGCGAGCAGGATACTGGCAGAAAACAATGCGTCCCAGTGCCTGCGTGATGTCCTTTGGGTTGAAAAAACGCCCTGTCCAATTTCCAGAGGTTAGATGACCGCATTCGCAACGAAATACCGTTCCTGGCTTACCTGAACGCCTGGACCTTATGGATCTGGATAACGTATTTCATCGGTTTGGGTAGTTCCAACTTCGCGTTCGTCGGCAAAACTTCCACTTCGCCTACCAACACGTTAAATACCTGGGGCACATCATTACACCCCAGGGAAAGACGGCCACCATCAGCCAAATGGCCACGCCTCAAAATTTCAAGCAACTCATCCCGTTTATAAAAACATCTTCCCAGAACCGCCGTTTCGTGTCCGATTCGCTGGCCCTGCCCCTAATCAAAAGAGCTGCGTCTCGTCGAGTATGTCAGCAGACTTCTGATCTCAGAAAGAGAATCCCTAGCCGTCGTTTGGGCACGCTCAAAGTTCCGTGGTTTAATCGAAGGCCAAGACGTAAGGCCAGCCACCGACCACCAACCGACGCCTAGCGGAAGCCTTGTCAGACGGACCCTGGGAGGACCAGGAAAAGCTAACGTGATTGTCATGACCACCTTGTCCACCACACACATCCCTGACTTGCGTGGTCTACCAAATAACCATCGACCTCCCTACACGGTCAGCTGCAGACAAGTCCAATTCAAAGACTACGACGTAAATAGAACTAGAACCTATAACAAATTGATTAATCTGACTATACTGGAAACCTCTCTGTGTCGCCAGAACTGACAAAACAACTGCATCGCTTATCTCGCACGTGACATTTTTTGTAGAAAAACCAATTAATTCTTGTCTGATAACATATTTTATCCTGACCAGCTAAAATCCGAGTAAAAATGTCAACTAGGATTTTTGTTGTCACCAGCACAAATGCTTCTTATTAAAATATTACTTACATAGCAACGTGTTTTTTCGATTTTTTTCGGAAAAATTAGATGCCCTTATGATATTGCCTACGAAAAATTCACGTAAAGAATAGTATGTAGTGACTACTAAAACTTTAGGAGCGATTTATTTTGGACACCGAAGAAAGAGACAACACATCATGCTGGTGGATACCAATTACGTACACCACGGAGCAACAGATAAATACCACTTACTCTGGAACACATTCTTGGATGGAATGCCCATTAAAAACAGAAATAATAAACAACCTACCGGATAAAAATCAGTGGATATTATTTAATTTGAATACCTCAGGTAAAAACAGGCCATAAACAAAATTATCTGTTCATGAATTTTTGTAGGACTTTACAGGGTTAATTACGACGAACACAATTGGAAGCTTTTAATAGCGGCACTAAAAAGTAAATCACACGGAAATATTGGTCTTTTTAATCGAATTCAGCTCATTGAGGATTCCGCCGCATTGGCATGGGCGGGAAAATTGCATTATAGCGTATTTTTTGATGTCCTTAGCTATCTAGAAAATGAGTCAGATGCTAGAGTCTGGGGAATGGCAAACTTCAATTTAGAGATATTGGGTAAATTGGTCATGAGAACATCGGTTTTCGGTACATTTAGGGTACGTATAGATTAAAGCCACGACCTACGAGAAGTGTGCGGTAACTACTGATGCCAGTAAACTCGCTTTGGATAGGGAATTACAGAACGTTTGTCTAAACTTGTATGTTTTTACTGCAGGAGTATATGAAGAGACATCGCCAAATTCATAACAAAACAAAGGGTGAACAACACGCAATGGTTGCACCTGCGATCGAAAGATTTTGTGCCTATAACAAGGATGATTGCATTAAAGACTCCCGTCGTTTATTTGAGCAATTGATGAAAGATCCAATTAAAAACCCGTAAGTACCTTTAATTAAAGGTAGCTGAAACATTTTTCAATTAGAGTACCACCAAAAAACCAACCAATAGTCTACTGCAATGCTCTCAAACATGGCGAGGAATCCGAATGGAACTTCCTTTGGAATCTTTATAAGACTTCAAACTCGGCGAGTGAACAATCTTTAATACTAAACATTCTGGGCTGTACCCGAGAAGTATGGTTACTAGAAAGGTATTTGGATTGGGCCATAGATCCTTCGTCGGAAATTCGAAAACAAGATGTCGCAAAGGTGTTCGGTTCCGTTGTCGCTACCGAAATTGGATATTACGTAGCGAAAAACTTTCTTTGGAAGCGTATGGAGGATATACACAATTAGTAATAGCGTAACGGCTCATCTTTACATCTACATCTTCCCGTTTTTAGTATTGGAGGTAGCAGCTTTGCAGTATCAGAACTTATACAACGTCTTGCTCAACAAATGATTTACCAGGTAGATTATGAGGAGGTAAGCTTTACAGCACATCCTGAGTACACGAACAGTTAGTTATTCTTTTCTTTGTAGTTGAAAGATTTCACACTTAAACATAGTAATTACTTCATAGGCAGCCAGAAGGCAATTACGCAATCCTTAGAAACTGTTAAGCTACAAGTTCAGTGGCATCAAACGCATTTTGAGACCATCGAAAATATTTTATCGGTTTACAACGAAGAGACACTCAAATATTAGACTAAGTAATTAGATTTTTTAATGTTATTCGATCCACAGCAATTAATCCGGCCACTGTATTATATTTTACATTTGAAGAAGCCTATCCGTTCCGTTTACAGATTCCAACCTTACCCTTCGTTCCACTTCTCACAATATCTCACGTGGAATAACGTGCACATAACTAAGCAAATAAATAGATAATAAATTAAAAAAATAAATAAACACAAATACATAAATATATAATCAAGAGATACTAAGAAAAGTAAGTTGGGCCGATAGCATCCTTGACCATTCGACTGATAGCGAGGAGAATAAAAGTAATATATTGTAACGTGAATTAATTACGTAGTTTTATTTATTTACAATTAATTAACAATAAATTCTTGAAATGATTTAATTTATAACAGTTAAAACACTTTTGATCGCTCGCTAATACACAATTTATAACAACGTGAACTTCGGCGTCCAATTGGAACTGAACTGAAACGCATTCGATTTGGTTATATAGCAAACTCACGTGCTCCCGAATACTGTCGAACATTCTAGAACAAAATACGTCATATTTCCGGGAAAGATTACGTTACATTCGCTTTCGTTCTTTGTCGCCGATTACTAATCTTTCATGGCTACTCGATGTCTTTCGGGATTTCTGCAATATTCGCTACATTATTAAATAATATTCGGGTAAGTTGTAGAAAAGACGATTGGGATGGTTTTCAAACATGTTGCGACCCCTGATTATTAAAGTTCCTATTGAAGAAGGATGAGCTGCAAATAGAAGGAATGCCAAGACGAGAAAAAACATATAAAATTAGACAACAGATTTTGAGATTTAATAATAGGTACCTTTAATAAATAAAAGAAATGTTGATATAGCAAAGTTTATACGTATATTTTCATATGTACAGAATTAGAATAATCTAATTAATTTTTAAATTCTCTGTATACTCGTATTATCAGTGTATATACACTTTTTAATACAATTGTATTATATAGTGTCGCGATTAAATGTTGTGTAAACGAAAATAAAAGTTATGAAGCCCTACCGTAAAGAAAGTCACTCGTTTTTCCTACATTAACAGCATTAAATGACCTAGTCTTTTTATTTCACCATTAATTAGATGATTTTCAGCGCGTGTACAACCAGAGAGGTGTACCTGGCGCCTCATTGCAAACTGATCCTAAACTACAAGTCCCCAATTAATTACAGTGCAGGTAAATTAACGGATACACATAGAGTAGGTATCTCTTTTATCCTACAAATGTAGTGCCGTATGGAAATAGAACTGTTAACTCCAAAATGTAAAGCTCACAAGGTGGCGTTGTGTATTGCTTTTCCCATTTGGCGATAGGTAGCGTAAGATTGCTGCTTTTTCATTACTTCATAATACAAAATCGCGTTACCTACGTACCGCCAAATTAGACAAAGCAAATGGTGCATTACGAAGAAGGCCATGAGTAGGTCGAATACAAAATACCAAGTAGGTAATTGCGAAAACCAATGAAATTTGAAATTACCTTTTATTTACAACATTAGTAATAATTAGGGACGTCGCTCGCATCTTATTAGTAATTGGGGTTATCCCATTGACTAAAAACACTAAATTCAATGGTTATACCCAGCGAAAGGCGTCCAAACATTTATTAAATCTTGTTTGTACGGCGGTAAAAAGTTAAACACCCTTATAGCATAAGCATGAAAAATGTCACTTGCTTTCTTAGATTTGTTATACAACTCCCAAGTGTCACGACCGAAAGTTTGAGGAATGAATTTCATATTTCACGCGACATTTTGATACGCAACTTTAATATAATCACGAAAAGTTACAGTTTTTCACTTTGCCTTTGTACCCGCCGTTTATATTTCGAGAAAGGAATTGCATTACATTACATTAATCGACCGAGTCGGACTTATTCGCATTAAAAATGAAATTGCATTCCCCAGAATAATCGGATGAGAGTTTCGCGTTAATGAATGCAATTAATAAGCGATGGGAGCTAATTTATAACGTGACAGGTAAAATGGAAATTAGAGAGAGAGTTAAATTAAAAGTTGCCCTGCACACTTTTTTCTTTTAAATTCAATTAAATCGCAGTGTGATTTATTTTTTTTTGTATCGTGGGTTGCAGAGCACAGCGCATAGTTTCATTCTATCCTGTGACACCTAAAACCATTTCGTATCGTATAATATCCCTTCCGTTCGGGTAAGTGTAGGGAAGTTAATAGAATTTTCATCAATAGTCTATTCTGAAACCGTATCAGATCGTAAGAAATGATGCCAATGGAGACCGTTTGAGTCATGTTTTAGTTTTTAATCGTATATCGGTATACCTACATTACTGGGATGAGTTTAACGTTTCAATGATTCTTAGCCTAGGAACGAAACTTATTGTAGTAGCCAAGGGTATTATATTTATTATTCGTCTTCATTCTTTAAAGAAATTATAAATTTGAAGATTATTTTGATATTTCACACGTTTTCCTGTAAGTGATTTGATGATACGACGAGTTAGATATACTTACATAAAGTGTCATATGATGCCAAAACAGCTTACGTTTTTTCTACAGAATCAAGACAAACGTTAATGTTAGACGGTTTATAGCAAACCAACCTTTTACATTAGCGTATTATTGATTATTGATGGATGTCAAAAAATTAAATTACATTTCAAGTGAAATAATGAAGAGGTACATAACACAATTAGATAGGGATAAATTTAGCCCACCATGATATTGGCATCCACCTGTTCAATGTCACTTACTGACCAAGATTTGATAACTCATTTCCCTTACAAGTCTTTCTACACATGGATTGAGGTCAATGTGGTTGTACGTCCCTCGTGAGCAGGACATGAGCATCCGTACGGACAAAACCTATTTTCAAAGAACGATTACTGGTGCGTCACTGCTTAAAAAAATGAACAGAGCAGTATCAGTAATGAGTCTTGGGGATCGATTTGTAAGGCGATCAAAACATTCCTGGAGCTCACGAAATGCTGAGAAAGATTTCAAATCCTTGTGAAGGTATCACCGCCTCCGTGGAAGAAATAAGGGTCACAGTTACTACCTATGTTCCCCTAAAATGTGAGGCAGGACAATGGAAATACCTTCTGAGAGAGTAACAGCAGGTCTTCAGTATCTGTATTTTTGCAATTGTATCATATAGCTGCTCTTGTTTCTTTTCCAAACCTACCAGAATGCACAACGCTATTACAATTTTCGCACAAAAGAATCGTTCAAGGATAGTTCGGAAGCAGTAGCGTTTTTCCTGATTCGTTTGAGCATGTGACAAGGTTTCCTTATACGAATATTAGGTCAACTTCTGTCTTCCTCAACCTTATTACATAGCTTGCTGTGAAATCCAGTTTCTTTTATCAAGGTTTGAAGACATTCAATGTTGCAGATTATTCATGGGTTTGATTGACTGTACCGCGATTCTTCCTCCTCCTGTTTATCAGCATTCGAATCTTCATCATCCAAATCATGATCCATCAAGACATTGCTTTTATCATCCTTCAAGGTATAGCTTTCAGTATTCCCCAAGTCCTAGAGAGAAGCGTCTTTAGTAACAGCTAAAGCATAGTGATCTTTGACTTGATAATTACCCGACACTACTGATTCATTTATTTAAAAGACTTGAGTATATTTCGTAAAAATTTCAGTGTGTTTCAGCGCGAGAAAATCTGGAAAAGGTCATGACCTTGGGATTTCACCGATTACGTCACAACGTCATTGGGTTTTTCCCAAGGCCATGACATTTGGAATTCCCAGGTCACGTCACAACGTCATGACCTTGGAATTTTCCTCGAATACTTAGTTGCAGCACCAATGCCACAATCTTGGTCCATTAACAAGTTAATTTAGTTATGCAACCGGGAGATCTCTTCACTTTCGTCGGGAAAAGTTCAAGGCCAGGAACTTGTGTATTAACCGGGGAAGTTCCAGGGTCACGATCTTGTCACATGATCATAGAAATCCCAAAGCCAAGACCTTGGGTAAAAGTCTAAGGTCACGACCTTAAGGCCATTACCTTGGCCCACTAACCAAGGGACCGTCATCTAAAGCCGCGACCTTGTGACGTAACCTGCAAAACCCCAGGGTTGAGACCTTGTGGCGTAATCGGGGGGAATCCCAAGGTCATTGCCTTGTGATGTGACCGGGATAATCCCAATGTCATGATCTTGGGAAAAACCCAATGACCTTATGCTTTAAATGGTGAAAATCCTAAACCTGACAACATCCAAGATTACGGAAGGTGTCCGTGTTCGACTAGCATTGTTTTTTATTGCTACTTGTATGACAATAATGTTCATTTAATTTTGTTTGGTAAGGCTTATTACGCAGAACGGTAGTCGTTCAGTCATGATACTTTATAGAATAGACCTGAATATAAGGGTACTATGTGCTTCATTCACTGACAATGTAACGGTTTATTTTCTTCATTACGAAGCAGTCAATATTTACTTGTTGAATGATCCTCGTAACAGTCGTAACCTTAGAATTTTAAACACAAAATTTCAGCGCAACCTTCTACTTCCTTCTGAAGCAGTTGACCAGTTAATTATCGTACTTAAGACAGAAGCTTACTTCAAGTAAGGCGAGGTCCTTCAGGCATTCTTCAGTTAATTGCAGTCCGAGCTCTACGGCTTGTACGTTTTTGGCTGTTTGAAGGTTTATGGTTCGGGGAACTGAGCTCACTTCTCTGGATGACAACTAAGTTACATTAAGCTAAGCGTTGCATTTTTGTTTTGCTTGCATTTGGCCTATACGTGCGCATTTGTGTTCGGATCAATTTCTTTGTAGAAACGTGTTTTAAGATCAAGTAATCAATTCAATTGGGTGGCAGATCAGTTTACCCAGAACGAACTACCGCTGTGGAAGATTCCAAGTTCTCATTTTGTGTTTAACCGTGAGCTAGTTGGTCGTTTATGGGACGGGTTTAAGGAATCGCAGCGCCAACTCTACCTTCCAATTATAACAACATTTCGGTTTTTCTGGTATATCTTCGGAAGTATTCGCAATTTTCTTTACAGTTTGATAATAAGGTCTCGGGATGTAATCTTGGTGCTTAGGCAATAATACTTGATTCTTTACCTTGGTATAAATATAATATACTATTTTTATTTCTTAATACGACCTCGTTACTGCGACTGTTTGTAATGTTTAAGATTTTTCGATTATTTGGCAAGCTGATTTGCGATGCGTTCTGTTCCACATATGCATACGAGGTTATGTCATTGAGCAATTGCTTTCTTAGGTAAAGTATTTGATAACATGAATTGCGATCATTTGGTAAATACAGTGAGCTTACAACATTTCCGCTGATTTTGAAGGGCAATAATGCGGGATCTCTTTTTACTTACCTTGTCGTTTTCTACTATTAATTCTCCCATTTCTCTCTAATTTCTAATGTTAATAATAAATGCCTTCCAGGTAAGTATAAGTGGGGTACATTATGGGAGTCCCATAAAAGCCACAGCACTTGTCTATGTTCCTTTTTATGAGTTTTAAATATTAATTAAAAACCAAAGTTCTCCAATAGTATATCATCGTAATTGAAAACACTTTCGATAATAAGGTAACATAACAAATTCGATTTCCGGTTTTATTATTTACACAAATAGTTTCCTAACTAAAAGCACAGATTTAAATCTGTGCTAAAAGTAGGTACATACCTATTGATAATTACATTTACAAGAAGTGCGTTTAGATTTAATAATAATTATTGTATTTTAAGATAATTTTGAAGACGAAAATGGCATAGATTCAATTGATTTGTATTCTTAAATCCGGATTTACTACTCGCATGTTAGCTTCTTCATAATACATTTAGAGGTGACAGTACTAGAAAGGTTGACAGCACTGAACCTGGGACGCATTAGACGGGCACGCTCCACTGAAAAAAAAAAGATAAATATGTACTAGATATGGTAAAGAATTGGACAAAGTATACACTTTCTGATGAAAACTAACGATTTTGTTAAAGACAATGATCAAGTTATTTTTCTGGCTTCAATTAAAAGCAAAAAAGTCACTAGTGTAAACGAATTTTGCTGTTTGGTGTTTTATTTTCTGTGCGCATTTGAAATTGCGCGTTGAACACCCCTGAACCGTTGAGTATAAACGACTGTACTGTCTCACAAGTCACAATACCAAACTCTTCCTGACCGCAAAATACCTTAATGACCCAAAGACGCACGTCAGCGTAAGAGATAAAACTGAAGGTACAGAATGACGTTTGCGAATTAATTACGGTTTTAAGTTTGATGATGCGATGAAGGAAAAAAGAATCTTGAGCCCATATTAAATCTGTTATATAGAGCAAATTTTTGATTAGCATTAGCTAGCCGCTGAAGTGAGATTAGCCAAGTGTGTAAATTTCACAAGACAAATAAAGCTTATTACATAATAAAACGTCAGTATAAAAGATTAAATAATAAAAAATAAATAAAATACTGTTTCTCGTCGAGAGGAAGCTCGAGTGATGCAACTCGGTCGTTGTGATATATTTACTGTGCCATAGCTGCCGAGCGGTTTTGCTACTTTTTCTTTAAAAAACTTTATTCTGAACAAGCAGTAGCATAAGTTTCCATAAGAAAGCGTTTGCTTTGACGCCTGATAATGATAGTCGAAATCGCGATCAATCAATATATCAACCACCTCACAAAAAGGGCAGAAAAGTATACTTACAAATTACAATTGCTATCACAACCACTAGCAACACACATACATTCAAGAGGGCAAACTGCAGATGCTGTTGAGAAAATTACCAGCACCAACAATAGTATATAGAGGACGAACTTCATTGTATTAATAAGATCAACTTACTCATGTAGTACGACGATCTCGCACATTTATATTTGGCGGTTTCATATCACTTATCAATCTACTAAATCCTCGAAAACAAATTCTCAAGTATTTATTTTATTTTATTTTGCCTTTATTTTTGAGTGGGCGGGGTATCAGCTAGCTAAGGCTGCTCTACCACCCCAACCCACTATACATTTACAAATATCCATGCCCGAACCCGGATTCTAATCAGGGACCCTTAGCACCACAGTCCAGCTTTAACTGAACTACGTCACACGGGCCGCCGAATATTATATGCGCAGTTTATCACCCAAATCCTTTACCGGGATTAGGCGGTGTTATATTGTAATAAGAATGGACCATGTCATTTAGACAAATTTGAGCAAGGGTGGACCATGATCATCGCGTCAGTTCCGAAAGCTGTCGTAAAGGAACTCTAACTGCGTTTAAATGATTCTTCCAGACCTTCTCCTTCTCTTTTCAGATAGACATTTAAAGTCTTGACATTCGTCCAAATACGGACCACGCATTATTGTGTTAGTTGGGAGAGTAGGCATTGGTGTATATGGGGCAGAGAGAAGAATTATGCAGTATGTGAAATACAATAGTGTGGCAATGGTTAAGCGGTATCAAAGAGTACCTAATTAATTTCTTTGGCGGTATGTTAATCATGGATGAGTAACGTTTGCATTGCACGGGTAACTTATCCTAGGTTGCCCTAATTTTATGGCTTGTGGTGGATAATATATTGGATCTCTACGAAAAATATAGGTGCTCCTAATGGCGTAATTAAAGAATCAGGTATGAAAATAAAGTTTTATTACGGAGTTGTCTCACTTGGTAACCGTTTACTTTATCGTTATCAATAATTCTGTTTTGCAATACACTTCACATTTAGTAAAAAAATATTTATCGCGTTCTCATGAGCACACCTAGATCCAAATCTGTCTCTGTATCTTAAAGTGCTTGCGGTCTCAGACTTGTGGAAAGGCTTTATAGTATATCTACTGGATAGTGATTGCATTAACTTATCATTAACTTGACCTTCGTCAATGGATATATTTTATGAAACCCTTCACATGTACATTAAAAACATATTTTCCCACAATTTATTTGATATACGCAAAAACAAACGCAAAATCAAGCTATCATAGGTAAGGATATTCTTGAAGTCGGGTATGATTTACATCTTTTCGGCCTTTTTAAAGTAGGCACCTCGTAATCTGAGTAGAATTAATGGATTGGAAAAATCTCGTCTAGGTAAAATAGGTGAACTATCAATACAGCCAACACTTACAGAAGGAAGTCCGAGAGGAAGTCTAATTAGTATAGGCATAGATTAATTGTTTTTCGTACTTCCGAGACTAAAGTGACAACTTCACTCCATTATGACAAGTACGACGCCTATTCTTGAAGCAAAGAGAAGGGAGTGCTCCCGGGGAGCTTTCAGGGAATGTTCCCTCATTTCTATTCCCCGACAGGAAAATGTCACATTCTTGAAATATTGAAAGCGCTAGGGAACATAAAGGAGGGAGCAGTACCTGGGGAGCAACGTTGCCAGTTTAGTCAACCAATAGAGTCGCAGGAAATTTTTGACATTCCATATTTTTTCATTAACCTCATTTTCAGTAACGTTTTGTTTACATTTTAAGTCATTTTACATTTCATTGTTTATCTTTTAAAATGGATGTGAAATCTAGGCAATTAAGTTCTAAACAGAAAGAGACCCTGGTAAATTTTGTATACGCCCGGCCTGACATGTATAAGGGCAAATTAACCGGCACTTATACAAATGCAGTAGCAATGGCATTGTGGAAAGAGGTAACCTGCCTGCTAAACTCAATTCCTGGAGGGGCTACAAAGGATTGGAAGCAGTGGAGAAAGGTAGGTTGTTTGGGTATGTTTTGTGTAGACTAGGTCCCTTGGGGACAGCATAATTTCAGTCGAGATTTTAGTAAATGAACTGCAAATTTCATTCTACATATTTTAAACTTTAACTTTATTAACAGACATGGACGGATATTAAAAAGAATGTCAAAAGTAGAAAGACTAAGGAGCAACGATATAGTCAAGGGACAGGAGGTGGTCCACCATTATCTCCTCCCGACCCAGAGACCTGTGACGATAAATCAATTGACGACAAAATCTTAGAAATAATTACACCTGTTGCAATCGAGGGAAATGAGGATGTACCCGAACCGGACATTATATTTGACACTATTATAAGTGGAAGATCAAGTGAAACCACAGAATTGCCAGCACACTCAAGTACTGTAAGTACCTAATTATTGAACAGCTTTATTGGCGGTTAAGGAATATTAATGTCGTTTCATATTGATTTGAATTGGAGTTGATAAAATAATTCCATATGTGCATGATTTTGTGTAAATCTGAATTTATTTTTTCACCATAAAATGATAAGAAATATAATACGTACATAATTTCCAAGTATAACTAATTTTTGATAATATGTTGTAATTATCTTATAATCTTCACCATTCTAGGTAATAGAGGAATCTATGGAAATCTTGCAGAAAAATGCCATGCCTGATGAAGTAGGGGAGGATATCATGCTACACCATGATTACAGTTTATCTTTACCTTCAACAAGTAAAGCAGATCCAGTACCTGTATCGGCTAAAAAACAGCCGATGAAGGGTATGAAAAATCGATACACAAAGTCGGCAAGGTTGGCCGACTCAATATCGAATAATAAAAAATTTCTTGCAATAAGCCAGAAAGGCATTCTTTCTACCGGACTGTACAGGGAGAAAAAGTTAGAAGTAATGAAGAAGCACTGTGAAAATAAAGCAAATTATTATAAACAAAAAATAGATGCTAGTGAAAAGCATCATCAAGAAAATTTTAAAGTTTTGTCAGAAATTTCAAATTCTTTAATTAAAATGTCTTCCAAATAGATTATTATTGATTTAGCGAGTGATGTAGAAACAGATTGATTTTTTTTCCTGTGATAACAATCTGGTGAACTGTTTTTTTTTAGAATTACATTATTTATTTTGCTGAATTTATTATTAGTAAGTATATACCTAAATGATTTTGTCTGGTTAAACATCTTTAACTCCTACCTATAAACTAAAGACAAGATACTTGAATACGCCTAACAATCGTAATATAATACTAATTTAGATCTATGTAACATACTTATGAATTAACAAAAAAGTACTTACTCTTGTATTAACATTAACTAACTATTATGTACAATCAAACTTACTCATTAAAATGATTTGCAATAATGTTCTGCTGCAAATCCCTTGCAGCTGCCAAATCAGGGTTAACTACCCGTTGGATGTTATTGTTAAAGTTTGGTATATTATACATGCCATAATCAGGCTCTTCTATATGAGGATCATCTGGTTCTGGTGTATTTCTAACAATGCATAAATTGTGGAGAACACAACATGCATTTACAATTTTGGCAGCTGTTGTTGGGTGATAGTGTAAAGTGCGATACCTTAATAAACATCTAAATCGATTTTTAAGTACACCATTACACCGTTCAATGATGGACCTTACAGAACATACTCTTTCATTATACTGTTGTTGTCCAGGGTTTTCAGGATTTAATATCGGAGTTAATAACCATGGGCGAGTAGGATATCCTAAAATTAATTAATCACAATATTGTACTATACAAGTCAGGTATTTATGTTCGTTTTTTTTACATTCTCCCAAGCCTCACCTGAGTCGCCTAGCAAGAGAAAAACGTTTGCAGGATCTCTCCTATATAACTGTTCCATTAAATTGGAGACTGCACATTGTCTCCAAATGTGTGCATCGTGAGTAGAACCTGGGAATCTTGCAATTACATTTAATATTTTCAGGTTGTGATCACAAATCTTAAAGAAGAGTATATGTCAGTAATTTTTGGTTTTTCCTTCTAATAAACATACCAGTTGTACATTAAGTGAATGATAATTTTTCCGGTTCACATATATATGCTCAGGAACATGCTCATCATTAGCATGTGGAGCTACAACACTCACATGAGTACAATCAATGCACCCAATTACCCCAGGAAATCGATACTTTTCATAAAACCTAAAAAAAGTTAAATGAAAAATTATAAATAAAAAAGACCAGAATTAAATTGCTACAAATAGAAATTAATATTTATATTTACTTAGTTCGAAGATTTTGTAACTCTTCAACATTTTGAGGGAACCTTATTTCATTGTTTAAAATTTCAGGCCGATTCAAGGCATTTGTGACTTCATTTACAGCTCGACTAACTGAAGGCTGGCTAATGGCCACAAAACTGTTTGAGCCAGTAATTTCTTGATAGCTGCCTGAACCATAAAACCTCAAAGCAGCAAGTACCTACATAAATAGATAATAATTAACATTTCCATTCGCATAAAACGAATAAATAAGTCTAGGTATGTGAGCATGCTTTGATAAGCAACTATACTATTTTCTTATCTACCTTGGTTTGTATAGACAAAGCAGAGGTTCTTGAAGGGTGAATTAAAAAGGGGCTAACCATGTCAATTATTTCATGACACAGGTCCTTATCCACCCTAAACAACTGAACAAATTTTCTGTCCGATAATTCAAATGGATTGGTCTGAGACAAAACGTCCCTCCCAATAGCCACATGTGCTGCTGCTTCCTCAATATTCTCATTAATAATGTCATTCAATAATATTAAATTAAAATCGTCTATATTCATTTTAAATACTTATATTAAATTGTTATCACCAAACTTAAGTTCCTAACCGATATGAACACACTACCGATTCTAGGTTAAGTTTGCTTCTTCTCTCGGTAAATAGTAGGGGAACTTCTAGTTCTCTTGGGAGCAGCTCCCTCCCTTAATATTTTTTCAAGAATACAGTATGACACATTTGGTAGAAAACCACGCCCACTTCCCTAGGAAGTTCTACTCCCTGCAATTCAAGAATTGAGGCAGAAGTGTCACTTTTTGTCCCGCCGGGATTAAATTTGGACGAAAATCCCGGAAGGATGTAATTATTAACAAGCAATTTCAGTAGGTTGTTCCACAATTTGTATGCGGCACTACTTCTTAAACGCATCGTACTGCTGCTCATATAGTTTTTTGGATTTCGGTGGTATCAATTCTGTACCTAGTTTGGCTACTTTTTATCAATATCAAATGCACTTTTGTCACCCACCACCAAAATTATGACACTATAGCAATGACAGTTTCCAAATTATTTTTGTTACCATAGCATAGGGATTGTCGTACCAACGCAACGTGCCTATGGTAACTTGTTAAGCAGCGATTTTTTGAAAGAACGCGTTCTCTAACTCAATACATATTAAGTGTTTCAGTTTCGGAAGTACGAAAAATATCGTATATACCTTGCGACTGAAGTAGTGGTCTTAATCCCTCAGGTAAATTATGGCCCTCCCTTCGGTCGGGCCATAAACTTTACCTTCGGGATTAAAAGTACTACTTCAGTCCCTCGGTATATAATATACTATTTTGCAATGCCGACACGGTTTTATTGAATTTAATCCCTAATTTTTGTGCATTAATAGGTAATTTTAATCCCTAGGGATTAAAAAAAATGTTAATCCCTCATTTTTGATTTCTTGTAAAACATTCAGAAAGTACCTATTCATATTCTTTATTTTCAGAACAGGTAATACGAAAAGCACAATTTATAAAGGGCCTTAGTGTACATCCAGCTCTTCTGATATAATGCCAAATAACTGAGTTCTTCTCCGCCTCAACAATGGTAACAACTCTTGACTTTTAGTTTTTGTATCTGGAATTCTAACTACCAGCATCGATTCTCCATCTTCTATGTAGTCTACGTTCATTTTCAACCATTCCTCTGATCTGCAAGCTGCAACTTCCTCCAATATCCATAATTCAACCACAAACTTTGGAAGCATGAGCATGCAATGTTTTACACAAACTAACCTTTATCAGCAAATTACATCTTAGGGGATGAAAGAAGCGCCTTCATATGCTTCGTCACTTTCGTCTTCAATATTTTTAGAAGGGTTTACAGGCATGATTTTACTAAAATAAAAAATTCTTAATTTTTGTTGACAGTTACAAACAAGCGAGCGTAACTATGACATCCTAAAACGCCTACCTTACTTTTTCATAGTTTTTATAGCATATTAATTTTGAAATGGATTCAGATCGGTCGGTATTGGAAAGAATAGTATAAGTAACGCTGGATTAAACTAGTTTTTGTTCCCTCAAGAATTTTAAAGCCCTCGGCAGGCCTCGGGCTTTAAACCATTCTTTCAGGAACAAAAACTATTTTTAATCCCTTGTTACTTAATATACTATTTTAACCCACGGTCTAGGTAATGCCTTTTTTCATATAAGAGCAAAAAATTAGGTCCTTGGTCGACGGAGTATAGGCACCAAAATGTGACAGTCTAGAGTAGATTTTACTTTTCCATTTCCTGTCTAAGGAGGGAAGTGTTGTTATGGGAACACAATAATTTAATTTTCACTCCAGAATAAGGTTACCAAGAAAAAGCCCCTAGACGTTTAATTTAACGAACGTTATATTAATATCTCATAAAAGCCTATTAATAAAATAAGTGTTTAACACAGGCTACAACGACTGTATAAAGGCAGTGTGGCCATAATGCTCCATTATCATTTAGCTCATTTGTTTAAAAGAATTGGTATATTTTGCCATGGTTATAATATTATTTCCACAATTGTTACCAGGATTTCTAGGTTAAGTGCGGGTCGCTCAACTACGAATAAAAAACAACACCACTATGTGGCCGCACTGTCTAGTGACTCCTCAGTGACTTTATTTTATTTATTTATTTATTTATTTGTTTATTTATTTATTTATTGCGCTACAAAATTAATTCTTATTATAGTTTTGAAAGGGCTGCTATCACTGACTGTAGAAAGTATGCACGACAAAGAATTCTTCGAAAATGGTGGCACAAATATTCAGTTACACAGCTAACGATTGGTTTATATACGGCAGTTATACGGCTTTCGGTTCGAACTTTTAATTAACAATGACATTTTTACGCGATCTCAAAAAATAGCTTACACTCACAATATTGTTCTCGAAAGCTTGGCAAATAATTCCGTTTAAACGTGATCTAAAAGTGCAGCGGTTGACCTGCATAAGTTCTCTTCGAAAATTTTAGTAAGAATCCCGCTCTCCCATCAAATTTTTGGTTAAGTACTGGCCAAATTCCATATATCAAACGTACCCACCCCAACCGAAGCGTTCACTTTATTTTTTATGCAAGTAAAGGTGTTGCAGAGATCACTCGTCTTATGGCTCCGTCGCGACAGTTTTTAGAACTGACAACACCGTAAAGTTTCGACTTTTATTTGCTTTGACATGTGCTTCATTTTATTGCATATTAGTTCCGTTCCTTTTCGCAATGAAGCGAATTATACGTATAAAATTTCCTATACTGACAAATTTGTAAATTCACCAAAAAAATCTTCTAAGACTAAACCGGCCACTTGTTATAAAACCGCAGTGAGACCGCTTTGTAAATGTGCGGTTTTGTGAATGGGGGTACGAATGGTATCACGATTCACTTGTGACGTTTTTCAAACAGGGTTTTATCAGGGATTGCGCATAGACGAAACTATCTAAAAACGATTGGCTCTTTCATTTTCGAAACCATAATTTGGGAACCAATTATCCTTTTTGCTTTCTTGTTGTTTATTCTTCCAATGGATCATAGAGATGTTCTGGTTATCAGTGGAAAAAGGCACCGGGTCTTGTAAAGGTGCATTTTTTGTTTCAATTGATTGGTATGGATCTTAGAAACGGCTGGTTCCACTATGTCGGTGCAATGTGTGCCACTGCTCTCAAAAGAGTCGGTTCTTTATCGTGATGGTGCTAAATGGTCTCCGAGATCATGTAATTTAACGCCATTGAGTTACTTCTTGTCGATTTAGGTCAAATTTTGGGTTTATATCATCAAGTAGAACAATCAATGGTGCTTACCGTTGAAACGGCCGTTTTGGTGTTACTTTGCATCATAATGTACCCTACATCTCCCTAAGCTCTTTGTTGTAAAGGTAGAAACGAAGCATATTCAGGCTGTCTTTGGGACGTTTGATCAAATACGTTGCTCTAATTAATTTTGTTTGCCTGCCTATGCAAATGACAAGAATTGAGATCAACAATATGGGTTTTCCTCTCACTCTGAGTGTTCAGACAGTTCAGAGGTAGTTTTACAGCGGGAACTCCAAATGCATAATGCTACACTGAATTCACTACGAAACAGACAAAAGCATCAAGTGGTGGCCTAATTTTAAGAATCTGCTAATCCACAGCAATGAATCTGGTCTACTAAGCTTAAGGGGCCTACTGCTATAAAAACTAATCCACGTTGCACTATAAAATAGAATAGTGACATTTATAAAAGAAACCTAAAATGAACAGCACCCTTTTTTTCTGACTTCATGCACATTTATTAACCACAGTGGCATATTAATTCATACATTTCCAATCAGTAAGATACCTTGTTAATTGCACATAATAATTTAACGTGGCCATCAGTAACAGGCAAAGCCGAACGTACCCACCGCAAGCGAATGCAATTAAAGTGCGATTGCATCTCTAGATTTTAATTACGTCGCGTCTGGGTTTACACCTTTTTGTCAAATTAATCTAATCACAATAATTGTGGTACTTTCAAAAGCTCCGTTCGCACAATATAATTATTATTAAGTGTAATTTTATGGGGAACAAAAAGAAGCGCTTGTTCAAATTTATTATACGCAGAATTTTATCACTTGGTGGGTTTACACGAAATTTGACAACTTTTTGAATATTCAGCAGACGTGCGCGCCTTCCATTTAAATGTTAATTGTTCCCGATTACGATTTTTTGCTTAAAAGCTCAATCAAAGACCTTGCAAGGATTAGCACGGTTAATCAAGGAGAGAGGCGTGTTAAATCCGTGTCCGAGAGTATGATCAAAGTTTCCAGATGCCTAAGGACGGATCGGACCGCGTGCATGCAGATCACACTCGGCGGAAATTTGCATAGATACAGTCTGAGAGATAAAGGGGAGCAGGGTTTAGTCTTGGGTGTTTGTGCAGTAAACGACCCCAAACGCTTGTTACAGAAGCGCATCTACCGTGAGGTCCGTATATACTTTACGAACAGTTTCCGGTTTGACAATGTTGGCGTTTTTGTCTGGCAATAATTAAACGTACGACATCGATTAAACGGAAAACAGCGCATAAATTGAGGTATACATAAAAAAATTCACCCAGGGATTTCGGCATATTGCTAAAGTTGACATAGCGCGAAGCAGGAGGAGCAGATTTTAGGTCTCGAAATATTCTCTCGCTAATTTCACTAAATAAAGCAACTTAGTTCCGCCGAAATTTTGAGTGTAAATAGAAATACCGGTTAAAATCCATTCTGAAATTTAAATGGCATATTATTACATTCAGAACTTTCGCCCTTTGCTTGTTTACGCACTAACGCAAATATTGAAATTACTTTTCGTATTTTTATCTCATAGTGATTAAAAACGCCAATTTGTTAGCGAATAAATTTGTCAACTTGGGCGACACGCATTCAATATGCATTTGCTTTTTGTCACTCATTACACGCTTGGCGGTTATCGAATTTCAATTTAATTTGTTAATAGGACGGCCAACGTTTCATTCCATTAAAACTAATGTTAAATTCTGCCGCCCACTATTTTAACAACATACCTACAATATTTCAACTAGTCACCTTTAGTACCTACTTCACGTCCCTGTAACTGTAAGTGCGTTTGAAAACGTATTCCACAACATCTAAGTGTACAGGATGTTTCACGCAAACCGTTACCTAAAAGTATTCAGGCTTTCTTTGATAATTTAAATCTGAACATTTGCAAACCAACATAGTTTTTTCATAATCTATCAAACGGAAATATTAGCATGATCGGTTCACTTCCGTTTATGTCAGAAACT